GCAGTGTAGAATAAAGCTATTAATATATGCTGATGTGACCATGGAAATAATGTTGGTGATGGGATCAGTCATTGCGCAGAGGAAGCTGAGGGTGTTCTGCTGACATGATATGCGATTATGAATATTAATTATTGAAGTGCAGCAAGAAGTGAGGAAATATGAACCAGGGGCGGAAGCACTTCTGTCTGAATCAGTCTCTCTCTCTCTCTCTCTCTCTCTCGCTGCTGATGTCGAGCACACACACATCCACACACACTTCAAGCTTTTGCTGCAGTCTCCAAACACTTTTAGGGATAGTTCAAGCCAAACTTACAATTATTCATTTGCTTACTCGTTTTGTTCGAACCCAAACACCGAAGTGAGACGCTGAGCAGAATGTCTAAGCTGTTCTTTTCAATTCAGTGAGTGTGGATGGGGGTTCATATTGTTGTGTAATGCCACGCTGAATTGACTAGAAATGAATGATTGACTCTATCTTTTCAAAAGGTTGTTAATCAATTTCGACTATCTTTAAAAACTTTAAAAACACAATCCTTTCAGCAATTGTTAATTTTAAATGTAATCTCTGTGCTGCTCTTTGAGGTGGTGACCATAGACCTCCATTACATGACTGACAGACAAGAACGCTTTGACCTAAAAATATCAAAACTACTGCGGAAACAAAGACGCATACATCTTGGATGCCCTTGAGGGAAGATAAAACACACCAAAAATTAATTTCAAAGTGAACTATCCCTTTAAAAGTGTGTTTTAAACCCACAGGACCAAAGTGACCTGCAGGATGCTGTGTCTAAAATACACAATAAACATATTTGGCTTTAAATTTGCCAATGCAAAAACAGCACCCATCAAGTTCAGCATTCATCAAATCTAAGTCAACCATAGCTCAATGTTAAAGGGATACTCCACTTTTTTTTGGAAATAGGCTCATTTTACCACTGCCCCAGAGTTAAACAGTTGGGTTTTACCGTTTTCGAATCAATTCAGCCGTTATTTTGATATTTAGAAGAATATCAGTATACAGACAGTTTCATGGTCTCATTGACTTCCATAGTACTGTATATTTTTTTTCCTACTATGGAAGTCAATGAGACCAGAAACTGTCTGGTTAGTGATATTCTTCTAAATATCAGAAAATCATCTGAATTGATTAGAAAACGGTAAAACTCATCAGTTTAACTCTGAGGGAGTGGTAAAATGAGCCTATTTGCAAAAAAAAAATTGAAGTATCCCTTTAACAAAAAACGAGTTGGTTCCTTTCTTTTGTCAAACGAGGTCTGTGTGTGTGTTCACATGAATCAGTGTCTGCGGGAAATGGGAAAAACAGGCAGTGAAAAAAACAAGCATGCAAAGGATTCCAGACACAAACAGACACAACTAAATAAATACAGCGGAGACACGGAGGAAAAAAGATCATGGAACACATGATTTACACAAGAAAGACATATCCTGACACACACACACACACACATCCTCAGAGGATGCAGCACAGGTACACACACACACACACACACACACACGTTTAGGCTAAATCTAAATGGGACATTCCATAGACATAATGGTTTTTCTATCCCCTCACACTAAACCACCCCTAAACCCATCACACACACGACTTTACATTTTTAAAAAACACTTTTATTACTTTATTTTTATACATGATTTACAAATGACGTTGTCAGGTTTTGGTCACTTCTAGGTACTAATTTGTCCCCAAAATATAGTTGGTAGACACACACACACACACACACTGGTAAATCTATCTTTGTGAGGACATTCATAGACAATGCAAGTTATACCCTAACCTCACGCCTAATCTGAACCCGTACCCGAACTTAATTATTACCTTATTCTAAAATCATGTCTTGATCCTCAAACTTGGGTCTCGGCCAAAACGTCCATCTGTTACTCTCTTTTTGGTCTTAAACTCAAAGCAGACCTCACGAAACTAGTTGTGCAATTGCACACACACACACACATACGTTTACTTTTAGCTATCTAAAGGGGACATAATGATTTTATACTGCATATTTGATCCCATTACAGCACTCCTACTGTACATCTATACACACCCGTCACACACAACCTTCAGCATTTGTACATTATTAAAAAGCCTTTACTACTTTATTTTTATACCAGTTTTAGAAATGAGGATGTCGCTGAAAGGACGTTTTTGTCAGGTTTTGATCCCTTCTGGATACAAATTTGTCCACAAAATATAGTTAAGTTGGTGCACACACACACACACACACAGCAACCAAGACTGTCAAAAACTCAAGTTTCCTCTTGATAATCAGATGAATAGTTAATAAAAGTCAGTTTTATAAATGAATGCAAATGTGTTTAATAAAAGGCAGTAAAGCGTATAAAGCTGTGCAGGAGAACGGCCTGAGTGATGTAGTGTGGAGAGAGAGAGAGAGAGAGAGAGAGAGAGACGGAGCAGTGTCTGTAAACCCAATCTCCTCTGGAGCCCCAGGGGCCGGGAGTGAGCGGCCAGTGCAGGAAGAGATGGGCTGCATTATCCACATCAAAGCTCTGAATTATCAGCCATAATCAATGCGTTTGCATTACTGGCCCTGCACTGTACAGCACAGCGGAGAGAGAGAGAGAGAGAGAGAGAGAGAGAGAGAGAGAGAGAGAGGAAACCAGTGAAGGGGGAAATGGCATTAGTCTGGGCTGATGTCTGTGTGGTGCAGTGTGGGACACGGGCATCTAACGCTGGGCTTCTTTAGGCTCTCGCTGATCCGCAGGGTTTGTATAATTCTGCATCTCATCTTTGTAAATGTTGCAGTATTGTGTAAGCAATCACAATTTTTGAGTATAGTCTACTATATTACGTTTAACAAGTTTAACAGTTTATTGACATCGCCAAAATTACCATCATTGTTTGCATTCTCAAATTATCTTTAGGATTATTATGAGGGAAATAATCTTTTTATCAAATATATGAATGAACAAAAATGGTATTCAAGCCCTTTGCGATATAATGAGCTCATAGATGGAGATGTCGAAAGATGTGGTTTTGGCGCCCTCTGGTGAGTGGACTCGCGAGTTCTGGACTTTATTTTTAACCCTGTAAAGCCTGACATATGAAATCATAGTTCTGTAGTTTTTACTGTAAGTGAGCAAAAGATAATGCAGAATTACAATGAGGGATGTACAAATTAAATATACAATATAAGTTAATATGCCTGAAAGAGTATTTATATATGTATATATATATATATATATATAGAGGCTTTTTTTGTGTATCCTTCAAATGGTCTTCGTTTCCTGTTTACACTTCTGGGCTTCGGGGTCTATACGACCCCAACAATTGATTGAGTAATTGTACAAAAAAATATATACATTTTTAATCATACAAATAATATATCTCTTTTTTTTTGTTGTTGTTTACTTCTCATCTATTCATTAATGCTGTGTGTTTGGACTTGGAGATATAAAGTACTTTTGTATCCACACAATTCCTCAACTACACCATTAGCTTGCATATGAAATTTTTTTTTTTTTATGATACATTGCATTTATACTCTAGCGCTAGGCATTCATATCTGTGCATACATTTTCAGATTTTCAAATTTTCAGAATTTTTTTTTTTTGGACACATGAAGAAAATATATTTAATTTTTTTCACATTTCCCATTCATTTGAGGTCATGTTGACCCCGAAGACCAGAAGAGTAAAAATGTGGGTCCCACTTTATATTAAGTGGCTTTAAGTACCATGTACTTACATTGAAATTAATCATTTGATACAATGGACTTATTGTGTACATACATGTTTTTACGTTGTACTTATATTTTAAAAATACCAGCATGCAATTACAGCTGTTATTAATTTATGTAATTTCATCTGTAATTACACAGCTGACCCATCCCTTACACTTAAACCCACCCTTAAACCGACCCATACCCCCACACCTGTCCCTAACCTTACCTGTATCACTCCTCAATAGCAGCAAAAGTGATTTACTATACAACATGAGCACAATAAGTACATTGTACCTATTTTTAAATGTAAGTACATGGTACTTAAAGCCACTTAATATAAAGTGGGACCAAAATTTGTTTTACATATCTTCAGAACAACCGAATCAAGACCAGTTTTTTGTGTGTGTCTAGATAGATAATGTATGAAAAGTCACAAAATCACAAAATTCCACTGAGATGAAGGGAACCTTTTTTTTTTTTAAGTAAAAGTCGATTGGGGTCGTATAATTGTCACAGTTATAATAATTTATTTAATTATTATTATAACAGGATGGTCATATATATATATATATATATATATATATATATATATATCTTTTTCAGACGGACGGACTACAAACGTAATGGACACCATTTGCCGACTACAAACGTAATGGACACCATTGCAGATTTTGACAACATTACATCTGCGGGAGAAAATCCAAACAAACAGTGAATAATATCAACTTTGTGGCTTAAAGTGGATGTCTTGTAAAGATGATAAAGAGTATATTCAGATCAGCCAAAATCTCACCTGTTCCCTCCTCAGTAACATTCCCATTTACAAGAAATGAGTCTTGCATTTGGTCTTCAAATTTGGTGTTGAAAAACACTGACGTATCAACAGTAAGAGAGGCACAGCCCGTGGCATTCATCTGGTAGGAGAACAAACACACAATTAAGTCCAGCAGGCGAAAGGAAAACCCTCATTGGTAAGGCAGGAGTCACACACCTTTGCGGTATCTGGTCAAATGATGAAGCGGACTGGATGGAAATAAGGCCACTAAAGCTTGACCAGGTACAGGTTGGCCATATGTGTATCTGGGAAACATCAGAACAAGATAAAGAACTGACCAACCACACGACAAGAAAATAAAGCATCACTCAAATTGGCACAAGACTCAACTTTCAGTCCCATAACTGCAACGCTGTAGGTCTGCGCTAAAACTAAAGCGGAAACAAGCTGTCATTGAACTGCCCTTACACAACAACTTACCGTATTTGTTCACCTCAAAAACTTGAGAGATTTCTCGGTCAGCAATAAAAGCCTTTAGTGTGAACATCCCCATCTGAGCCTCTGGGTTTAACTCGTGAGAAACATTTGTCCACTGACCAATCCGGTTATTATCTTTGTCAAAACAAATTAACAGCTCAGAGAAAATCTGCAAAGAAAGAAAAGTGCAAAAAGCTGCAAAGTCTCTCACCGAATCAAACTCACCGGCTCCACCACGAGCAGATTATACTGCAAGACAGATATGAATAATACACATTTAAAGCAGACATTGAAGTTGACATTTCTGCATCTTAACCTGTATTTAATTTGCTTTTCATTTCTGGTCAGAACACTCAAAATGGTGAAACATCAGCTCTTACCATTTGATCAAACGGCACAAATTTGGGATCCATGGAGACAACGCTGACATTAACTGCAAAGACACCGACATAAATGGATAAAGTGGAATTAAAGCCTGTATGGCCCGACCTCAATCTGGTTATCATACCTTCTTCATATTAAGACCCAATGAGGTGATTATTTTTCTGGTTCCTATATGATAATATCTGGCATTATTCTCTAACTCCCATTCATCTTGCCACCTTAGTATAACCTGTGATTTAATTAAAGCTTTAGCATCTCCTTCACCCAATGGAATGTAAATTGGTACTTGATCTAATTCCAAAGCTTTTTTAGCTAACTTATCAGCAATTTCATTGCCATCAATTCCATAATGTCCTGGAATCCACTAATCCAAGGCTTATGAGATTTAAAAGAAGATGCTTTACTTCTAATACCAAGTCTTCACGTGTTGCATTATCTGTTATAAAACCTTGTAATATTGCCACAGAGTCAGTCCATATAACAGATCTCAGAGGTTTAATCTCCTAAGGGCAGAAATTATTGCAGTCATCTCTATTGAATAATATACTGACAAATGGTCACTCACTCTATACCCATATCTTTTCCCAAATTCTGGAATGTAAATTCCAATACCACAATGACCGTTGGATTCTTTAGAGCCATCTGTAAATATTTCCAAATATCCAAAATATGAAGTATTTAAATAACTTAAAGTAAAACTTTGCTTAGTGTGATGCTCACCTCAAGCTCAGCAGAAGAGACTTCTTTATAAACACACACACACACACACACACACACACATATAGTATATATATGAAGAGTTCAGATGCAAAAGCCTCTAAGTGCCATTTGAAATTTTCTTCTAAAATGATGATTTTTATCAAGCTTGTATATTTAAGTTCAGTGATTTCACTTAAATGGCAATGAAGATTACCTATTAATTGTCATTTAAGTGAAATTACTGAACTTAAATATACAAGCTTGATAAAAATGGTCATTTTAGAAGAAAATTTCAAATGGCATTTAGAGGCTTTTGCATCTGAACTCTTCATATGTAGATAGAACTTGTAATGCTACAATCTACCACTTGATGACACTTGGTCTTGCTTTCCATATTTATAATGAAAGTAAGCCCAACTCCACACTCATATAGACAACATTATCCCTTCACGTGTCAGTGTGTTATGAAGAATTTTAAATGTGTAAAAACACAGATTGTGTAGAAATAGTACCATGAACCATGCCAAAATAGACTTGCATAGACTTAAACAGTTTCAGACTATAAAAACAAAAATGTTTATTTAATGTTTATTAACTTCATTTAAAAACAACATGAACCATTTGACAGATACAAGTTCTATATAATACAGCTTTGAGAAATGAGCTTCCACAATCAGTTATTCCATCATATCAAGCACTTTAAAGCAGAACCCCTCACCAGCTTACATTACACACTAGTGTCGTGCTCTACCGATGTATATCCGCCTGTTTTATTAACAGTGATAATATAAAAATATAGAAAACCAACGTTCCGTGTTTGCGCCCCCTGGTGCCAATCACAATATACGACAGCTCTGTAAACAGATCATGTTTTAAAATAGATATATATTTTTCATGTTTTTTCATGTACTTTATTTTTACATTCTCGTGCACGTTTTCTAGGCTATATAAACTACAACTCAAAAAGATTGGGGTCAGTAAGACTTTTATTCAGCAAGTATGCACTAAATTGAGCAAAAGAGAGAAACAACTTTTACATTGTTACAAAAAAAAAAAAAGAAAATAAAATGCTGACTGTTTTCACCAAAGCATCCTGAAAATGTTTCTTGAACATCATCATATTAGAGTGATTTCTGAAGGATCATGTGACACTGAAGACTGTCTGGAATAAATGACATTTTAACATAAATTCAAATAGAAAACAGTCATTTAAAAATGTAATAATTCACAATATTTGTTATAATGTATTTTTGAAGCCTGGTTGAGGTTTATTTAAAAAAAAAAAAAAAACAAAAACATCAGAAAATGCTACTGACCCCAAACTTTTTTGTATTTAGTGGGTCATCCTGCTCTCCAGATATCCGTCATTGAAAAACACGTATCGGTCGACCACTATTACATAATAGCCATCATTTTCTATATAAAGCATCAACTCTGTGACAAAAGAATAAAATTAGCATAATTAATGTACCCAAATGCATAAGAAATCCAGCAATCACCTTTTCCATTACTGACGACGCGCGTGTGTGTGTGTGTGTGTGTGTGTGTGTGTGTGTGTGTGTGTGTGTGTGTGTGTGTGACACTTGCAAGTCGTTTCTCTCCAAATATTTACATCCTTACAGTAGTGTTACAGACATAACACACAAGACATGACACACAAATATAAAAATAACTGTCAGTAGTCACGCTATATCGTAATAAACAAGGTGCTTCTGGGAGATGCTGTGCCATTAAATGCTGTGGTTGGTTCATATACTTCATACGGCATTCTCCAAATCCACTAAAAGCCAGCGCCACCGCCACCGAGAGGAGCATGCAGGAGAGAGAGAGGACGGGCAATCTGTCGGAAAGATGGAAAGAGACACCACAAAACACACATGGACAGATCACTACACAGTTTGGCCACATGATTTATTCCCTGATCACTAGCTCGCAGGCACGTGCAGAGGGGGGGGCGTTGGGTGCTCGAGCACCTGCCCTTTTGCCCCTTGGTGCCCAAAGTGCCCTTTTGTCAAGACAAAATTTCCTCTCCTTTTTTTGTATTTAAAGGCACTTTTGTGGATGCCTGCCCCATCTAACTAGTAGTAAAATGAATGAATAATAATTTAGCCGTAAATAAAATGACCCACATGATGACCTTTCACCTGATTCCTCACGCTGCACGCGCATTTTTTAATTTCGCGCGGCTACGCGCAATCGCGCATTCCCAGAGGATATCTTCAAGTCTTGCGGCTGCTGGTAAGTGGTGTTTTATTCTCAGCGAAGTGATTTTGATGTTTGTTTACTTATTATTATTATTTTACTAGAACGACGTGAAGAGAGCATGCAGAGAGATGTCGTTTGTATTGCTGTGTGTAGGCTGTAGAAGTAACGTTAGCTTGCTGTTTGAGGGAGAAAAGTTTCACGGGCGTGGAGGGGTGTTATTTGACTAAAAACTATTATTTTTACTTTAAACTATTATTATTATTACAGTATTTATTTAAAAAAATATTTTCACATAAAAATGATTATCACAACTCTGGTAAGTTATCACATAGGCTTACCAGTTATGTTTTGTGTGCAGAAGCCTCTGTGAACATCTGCCCTAGTAACGTTACTATTATATACTATTATTGTATTATATACTTTAGCAGCCTGGGCAGAATCTGTAGCTTTAGCAGGTCAGTGAACTAGTGAGCCAGTTCCAAACACTGTCAGCAATCTTTACATCTTGACATGGTCACATAAAAATGGTTTATTCAGCTAATACCCTATATTTCTGTTTATTTTAATGTCTACAGTCTCAGATCAACTCCAGCAGTATCAGCAGCAGCAGTAACAACATCAACAGCAAAGGCAGCAAACTCACTTAGAACAGGCATCACATTAATGTTAAAAATCTTGTAAAGTATTAATTGCTGTTTCTGTTTGCTTTGTTTTTTATTTTCATTGTATAAAATGTAACTCTTGTATTTTTGTAAATCAGTTTTTGCCATGAAAATAGCCACAGATGCTGATATGCCATTAAATAAAACTATACTGTACTGCACGAAACATGGGCCAGGTTGATTTTGTCCTACACAGTTCACTATAACAGCTGTTCTTTATTATTCTGTATAACAGAGAAGAAAAAGCCATCAGGTTGGAACAACTTAAGATGCTTCAGTTTCTAATCCCAGAGTTAGGCCTATATATAGAGCACATCAATTATTTTTTTTAATTTTAAACTTTAAATTTGTCTTTTCTGTTCTGGTTCTTTTTCAAAACTCCATCAATGCATTTGCTGCTGTATCGATGCAGAATCATCTGTATTGATATATTACTGTATTGATATTTTGAGCACAGCCCTATAAAGCCTTGTTTCCATGTGCCCCATTTTATACTTTGAGCACCTGCCCCTCCAGAGGTCTCTGCACGGCCCTGCTAGCTCGTAATTCTGGGTATTTGACGGCGTGAGAATGCTCGGCAGTTTTTCAGATTTACACTCTGAGTAACACAAATGTTTGCAGGGAACTCGATGGATCGACACACTGGCTTCCTTCCCAGAAACAACGCCCAGCGATGAGACTTTTGCTTCATCCGTTCTGAAAACATGATTTGTTTGGTAAAGATGCTCCGGCTCTGCTGGTGTCCATGTGAACGCTCACTCGCTTTATCTTAAACATGATAACTGCTGGCAACTCTTCGTCTAAGCAGAAATGTGCTCAAATATGCATTGCGCTTTATAATCGCATGGTTTTGTTTTTCCATCGGTTATTGTGTATAAAATAATGAGGTCACTGGTAATGACATCATCCATCTACGCCCGCAGTAGAATTTCGCATTGGCACTCTACATCAGGGACTGATCTATTATTAACTGTTCCCAGACCAGCACATGCTTGAGATAAACGCTCTGGACAGCGTGCCAAATGATGCGAAACGTCTAGAGCGTCTAAACAAAACTAAATCTCATCTTACTTTTTTTCTTTTTGCATGAAAATATACATGAACCCAGAAAACTCTAGACAAAGTCAATGATGAGTATACCCTACTACTGTTCAAACGTTTCAGTTTTGAAAGATGTCTATGTTCACCTTATATATACACTTATAATATATACAGACTGACAAACCAACACATTATGAGCCGTCACAGGTGAAGTGAATATCATTGATGACAGGGTGTGATTATATATATATATATATATATATATATATTAGGGCTGTGCAAAAATTAATTGCGATTAATCGCATCCAAAATAAAAGTCTGTGTTTACATAATATATTTGTGTGTGCTGTATATAATTATTTTGTATATATAAATACACACACATGCATGTATATATTTAAGAAAATGTGTTATTCATATATAAAATATTTATATTTATATAATATAGATTATGTATTTATAAATATATATATATATATATATATGCAGAATTTAAGCGCAAATAATTCTTAAATAATACATGTATGCATGCATAGGTAATTATATATGCAAAATAATTATATACAGCACAGAAATATATTATGTAAACACAGACTTTTATTTTGGATGCGATTAATCGCAATTAATTTTTGCACAGCCCTTATATATGTATATATTATGGCAAGCCGTTTTAGCTTTTAGTCATTTCCCGGATATGAATTCTTGATATCAACAATTCAATTGTTAATATCTGTAATTGAAGAGTTGAAGTGCCATTTGAAATTTTCTTCTAGAATGATCATTTTTATCCAGCTTGTATATTTAAGTTCAGTGATTTCACTTAAATGGCAATGATAATTACCTATTAATTGTTATTTAAGTGAAATTACTGAACTTAAATATACAAGCTTGATAAAAATCATCATTAAAGAAGAAAATTTCAAATGGCATTTAGAGGCTTTTGCATCTGAACTCTTCAATTGTATTTTCACTAATGAAATTTCTCCATATGCTGCCATTCAAAATAAATTTTTTATATCAAGAATTGATTTTTTTACAAGTAGAAATATCATTTCTATATCATTTTTAATATCAATAATTACATTGTTGCTAGTAAAAATGCAAATTCTTGATATCAATAATCAAATTGTCACTAGTTGAAATGTCTATTCTTGATATCAACAATTCAATTGGTACAAGTAAAAATTTTCATTTTTGATATCTGAATAGTATTTCCGATATCAATATTATTTCAGATATCTAAAATATCTTTCTTACTAGTAACAATCACATTCAAATTTAATTATTGATATCAAAAATGAACATTGTTACTTCTAGCAATTCAATTGTGGACATCAATAGACATTTCAACTAGTAACAATTGAATTCTTGATATCAACAATAAAAGATTTTACTAGTAAGAATTGTATTTCTGATATGAGAAATTGGAATTTCAACTAGTAAAAAATCTATTCTTGATATCAACAATAAATGGAAAGTTCAAATGTACAGCATTTATTTGACATTATAATTATATTTAGTGTCATTTAGCGACCTCATACTTTTTAATCATAGTATTAAATATAACAATAATATTAAATATAACAAATTATCCAATAAATTCACATTTGTGGTTAAAATAAATAAAACCGTTCTGGCTGCTGTACCTTTAACACATCTATGTAAACACACTCCCTTTCCCTTTATGAACATTAATAATTTACACGACCCCTTTAGGTGACCACAGTAAAAAGTCATTTCTACACAACAAATTTCAATCCTTACGATCTAGATGACTCGTGTGGTGACCTCGCCGGTGGTCTCGAAGACGATGGTCCGGTCCTCTTTAATTGGGGGTGTGTACTTGTAGTCGTCACTCAGCAGGCCCAGTATAGGGTACTGGGTGGCGTATCTGAAAGAGTTCACCATATAACATTAACACTGAACGGCATTTCACACTATTCACACACACACACACACACACACACACCTCTTTGTAACGATAGTCTTCGTCGCACTGCTGGAGCTGTCAATCTTCTGCTGTCGGAGTCGCTTGATCTCCTGAGAGTGAAGGGTCAAAGGTCAGAATGACATCACATTCCTCAAGGGTCATGAAGCGGAGGTCACGCAGAGACGGAAGTCCTTACACTGATGTCCTCGTTCAGTGATTTGATTAGAAATAGATAAATACTGTTTTCTGATATAATTCATTCTATTTCACATCTGACAAAAACATTGCGAAGAGAATGAATGACTGAATTAAGCTGGACTAAATCAACGTGTATTTGCTAGTTTCACCCTATCGTTATATAAGAGTACGGGGAACCCCTCGTTTGGACAGAAGAAAACATGATTTGTTCATAATAGATCCCCTTTAACCCTCAGGTGCTCTTCGGTCATTTCTGACCGAAAAATTTTCTGTTTTAAATTTCTAAAAATCCCAGCTTCATCAGAATGTTACGAAACTTGGTGACTTTTATGGCATTGGGTATGTGAACACGCAAAAAAAATTGAGGTCATGATTCGAGCAATTTAAGTGGTCATAAAAAATGAGTCACACTTTTGCTCTTCTGTCAAAAATGACCGACCCATAGAAAATGAATGGGAAATTGACAAAAAAAATAAAAAAATTCTCTGAATTTTTGTATGTACAATCGACAAATCGGACACAATTCTAAAAAAAAAAGTACACCGCAGGAAAGGGGTGACACTACACAACATCTAGAGTGCAAAATAGACACACACACCAACACACACACACTTTCATACACATACACACCAATAAATTTTGATTACAAAAAGTATGTTTTGAATTTTTAAAAATCACAGCTTCATCGTAATGTTACGAAACCTCGTGACTTTTATGATATTATGTATGTGAAGACACAAAAAATTGAGGTCATGATCCGAGCATGCTAAGTGGTCTTAAAAAAATAGTCACACTTATGGTCTTTGGTCAAAAAAAAAAAAAAAAAATTGTCAATTTTTTTATAAGAAATACTTTTTGAGATTGTTTCAACAATATATTCAAATCCACCAACAACAACAACAACAACAAAAATGTGTTCATAAACAGCTGGGGAATTGACATGCTTCTCCATAGAGAGCTGTACATGCCATCTAGTGGTTACACCATGATTCTACTTTTTTTTTGTCTATACTGTAACCAGATGGTGCTAATTTTCTGAAGGCCTAGACTCTATATTAAACTAAAATACTGCATTAATAGTTTTTGGAAAAAAAAAAAAAAAAATTATATATATATATATATATATATATATATATATAGAAATATATATATATATATTTCCATAGCAAACATAAACCATAAATATTGCATAAATATTAATAAATTCAATTAAATTGTCTCAAAATACTAAATTAAAAAGAATAAATATTATAGAACAAAAATAAATTGCATTGGTTTTACTGGGATGGAGAAAGTTTCAGTTTTAGGTGTCCGGTCACTTTTGACCGTGAAGATAACAAGCATCGCACGGCAGATCTGATGACAAACGCATTGTGTGCTGGTTATAAACAGAGCATGTGACGTGTGTGTGTGTGTGTGTGCGTGTTGCCGCACCTCCTCCTGGTGTCGGATGACGCTCTCGTGTTGCTCCAGTTTGGTCAGGAGCTCAGTGATGCGCAGCTCCAGCGTGCTGTCGGACGTGTGTGTGACGGTGCGCTCCGTCTGGATCTTCACAAGCTGAGACTGGAAACACACACAAAAACATGGGATGCATTTGAAGGATTCTACACTAACAAGCATAAGCAGTTTTTATAACTGTATTTAAAGAAATATAAGAGGCATTAAACTGATCAAAAGTGACATTTCTAAATGTCTTTCCGTTTTAAGTAAATGCTTTCTATTTAGCAAAGTATCCTGAAAAAAAACAAGCACATGATGGAGTCAGAGAGATGTCGGAGGGAAGGCCCGAACCCAGAGTTCTGCATCCCTGAGCGAGAGTGAGGAGTCCAGTAGATCATGTGACCGTGCTCTTTGGTGATAAAATATCATTTCAAGTACTTTCAGGAGTCATGGAGTAGAAATTCATCAACTCCTTTGATTTGTTCTGCATTTACCCGCATGTTCTGGAGCTCTCGGTCCTTCTCCGCCCGCAGTTCATTCAGCATCCGCTCATACTCGCGAGACAGCTCCTGTGTCTGGATCTGGACTGTGGAGCTGCTGCACTGACCCGTCATCTGCGGACCACAGACCACACCAATGCTATTTAATTACCAAAGTAAAAACTGAAACATAATATTATAGCACGCATAGTGAGATAAGAGATTGGACCACAAATTATATTTGTTTGCAGTGTGAATTAAAGGAGTAGTTCACTTTTGAAAAAAACTTTTGCTGATAATTTACTCACCCCCGTGTCATCCAAGATGTTCATGTCTTTCTTTCTTCAGTCGAAAAGAAATTAAGGTTTTTGATGAAAACATTCCAGGATTTTCTCCATATAATGGACTTCAATGGGGTCCAAATGAGAGTTTCAGTGCAAACTGTTCAAAGGGCTTTAAACGATTCCAGACGATGAATAAGGGTCTTATCAAGCGAAACGATCGCTCATTTAATAAATAAATAACAAAGTTTAAGTTTTATAAGCTCAAATGCTCGCCTTGCTCTGTTCTGTGATGAGCGTTCGTGACTCTTCTGTTCATCAAAATGAACGAATCTTTTCCCGAGTCAATTCGTTCATTTCATTCATTGAATCTACCAAATGACACGAAAAAAGATTCGTTCATTTTGATGAACGAGTTCGAACAGGAGAGTCACGAACTTGCATCACAAAACCACAAGGCGAGCATTTGAGCTTATAAAACTTAAACTTTGTTATTTATTTATTAAATGAGCGATCGTTTCGCTTGATAAGACCCTTATTCATCGTCTGGAATCGTTTAAAGCCCTTTAAACAGTTTGCACTGAAACTGTCTTTTGGACCCCATTGAAGTCCATTATATGGAGAAAATCCTGGAATGTTTTCATCAAAAACCTTAATTTCTTTTTCGACATGGACATCTTGGATGACACGGGGGTGAGTAAATTATCAGCAAAAGTGTTTTTAAAGTGAACTACTCCTTTAAATGACAAGTTTAAAGGTCCATGAACAATGTTTCTCTTGTGTTGTCTTCACTGCACACACACACACACACACACAGTGTGATCAGTGTAGTTTGCTTTACAAACGCTTGACTGGTTCTTTTATTGAAAACTAGTGAATCGCACCATCAGAGCGGTGATGAAGAGCCACAAATCATCATTTTCATTGATACCTCATGGGAAATGAACTGTTGTTGTGAGTCGTGTGTGTTCTGTGTGTAAAGAAGGTATTTGACTAGGCTTACATGCACTTTCACAGCTGGTGTTGTAATAAATGGGCAATGATGATTAATCGCATCCAAAATAAAAGTTTGTGTTCGTTTGATGTGAGTGTATATTGATGAAGACCCGAGGTTTGCCCACCTTCTTGCGGAGCAGCTCGTTCTCCTGCTCCAGCGCCCGCTTGCTGCCCTCCAGCTCTTTGATACGGAAGTCTTTGCTCGGGTCTTTGCTCTGGAACATCAGTAGCTGACTCTCTAGTGAACGCTGAGCGCTGTTACTTTCCTTCACGGCCGCCTGCGAGTCAGTGGAAACCAAACATCTGAGACAGATCTCTAATAACATGCACAGGTTATCATCATTAAAGGGGTCATGACAAGTTTTTTGCACGAAATAAAAAATGTGGAAAATGATTATTTTCTGTGTGAGATTGGGGAAGAGTAGAGAGCAGCATTGATTATAATGGGTTATAGTGACGTGACGCAACACTTGTATCCAGTGTAGGCAAATGTCAGTCATTAAGTGGGCGGGGCCTATGGTGCGATGATGTAAAACTATTCGTCGACGTCTTGCTCTGGAGGCAGGCATATGCAAATCTATTTGTCTTAAATAAAGGGGACCTTTCTGCACCTTTTTACAAGACGTAAATGTGTCTATAAAGTTTCAGCTCAAAATACCCCACAGATCACGGTGTAAATGAGCATTTTTGAGTGGAAGGAAAAGCATGCCGTTTTCATGCATGTATCTTTAAATGCAAATGAGCCGCTACTCCCCACCCAGCTTGTGCATATTAGATCTGTGTATTAAAGTGACAGCAGCGTAATATATATATATACACACAGCACCTGCTACTGTATAATATGGTTAACATGAATCAAACATCAAAAGAAAAACAGGAAGTCACTCACTGCTCTTGATTGAACAACTTTAATATATTTAATGAGAATACATGTCTCACTCACCTGCAGTTGTCTGCACTGCTCGCGTACGTTCTCCAGCAGTTTCTCATATTGAGAACCTTGATTTTTCTTAAAGCTCAGTTCTTTCTCCAGATCGTCCTTCTCGCTCTCCAGATGCTGCAGATACACACAATTAATCCAAATGCAAGTTGCAAATAAACACATAATTGTGGATGCAAAAATAAAAAGGCTTTAGATTTGTAAATTCAGTAGATGCTAGTCAAATAATATGCTAACGGGTTATATCTTAAAAACCCTCAACAAACTACAAAATGGTGACTCTTATCACTGTCTGGCTTCATTAATTAATTAATTAATTTTTATTTTATTTTTTTTTTTGCAATAATGTCTATTTAACTGTACATCACCACACGTTTTAGAGCTTTGAGTGCTTGCATGTTTTATTGGAAGTTAAACTTTTGTAACAAGAAAGTTTTACAGATTTTATTTCAATTTTATTACTAATAAATAATAATATTTTCATTCATATTTTATAGTCATGTTAATTAAAGTGCAATAATTAATTAAATTTTTTCCAAATCATGCAGCCCCAGACATACATAAAATATATATAATCAGAACTGACCAATCATGATCAGTCAGACGTCACACACACACACACACACACACGAAAGCATGCACAGTGCATTCAGTGCGATACCTTCCGTATTTCTCAATGAAGTTTGCAATTTCTCAGTCAGTCAAGAGACGGCACACAGCTAATTAGTGAAAACACACTGACGTTGGTGTGATTGAAAAGACGCAGCATGTGTACATGTGATGGTTCATGTGTAACTGAGCAGAAGCTTTGTTCAGTCAAACAGGAAATGACCTCTTGCTATGCCAACAAAGCCGGCTGGGGATTTTGTGATATTCTTCTGGTATACTGTCTCACAATCTGAATTTGCATTTGCATATTTTCAAATTATGTTATTATATATGAATTACCTTTAACAAAATAATGCTAAGGTAATGTTTAGGGGCTGATGTGTAGCTGTTACATCATACCATTGAATCTGTGCACACACACACACACACAGAAGGATAATCGCACTCACCCTCAGGTCGTCCTGCATACGCACGAGTTCCTCTCGCAGACTGCTGAACGTGGCCATCAACAGACGCATGGTCTTATCAGCGGTCACACGAGTCTGGATCAGGGAGAGAAACACGTTTGTGTCCGCAAGTGTTGCATGTTATATTTAATGCTGTCAAATCGATTAATTGTGCTTAATCGGACCTCACAGAAACATTTTTGTTTATATAATATATGTGTGAATCTACAAAAACTATATTGCCAAAAATTTTGAAACGCCCGCCTTTACATGCACATGAACTTTCCCATTCTTAATCCGTAGGGTTAAATATGGCTTTGAAGAGTTCAGATGCAAAAGCCTCTAAGTGCCATTTGAAATTTTCTTCTAAAATGATCATTTTTATCAAGCTTGTATATTTAAGTTCAGTAATTTCACTTAAATGGCAAATGAAGATTACCTATTAATTGTCATTTAAGTGAAATTACTGAACTTAAATATACAAGCTTGATAAAAATGGTCATTTTAGAAGAAAATTTCAAATGGCATTTAGAGGCTTTTGCATCTGAACTCTTCATATGTCCACCTTTACAGATAAAACAGCTTCGGTTTTGATCAAAAACTGACTGAAGATGAAGCAAATATCTGTTTTTATCAGTGACTGAGAGGGTGCATTGTGCCTGGAGGAGCGTGTGTTCCTGGGACAGGTTTAATGAGGCGGGTGGGGTGTCCTGAGCGGTGGGCGGGGCTGAGAGGAAGTGGGCGGGGCATGATGTGTGCTAACCTGCAGCAGGTAGCGGATCTGTTGCTTAGTCAGTTCAGACACTCCTTTGGGAATTAGACTTTCTATTTCATCTTTGTCCACCTGCAAACACACATACAGACAAGTTCATCATCAGAAATATCATGAATTAATAAATATAATGTATTATATTTTTGTAATATACATGTATTTTCTGATATCAGGACAGTTCTTTCACACTGATATTTTTTTATTTATGCCCCGATGAAAACGTGGGGGTGATGTGATGGTTTAGAATTAACTTGAAGTAAACATGGAAAACTTCATCTAGCCAACTTCATCTGCCACTCCCTACCTTGTAGTCGATGGTGGAGTCCAGAAGGTGTTTCCTGCAGAGACGGAGAACAATACGAATGAGTCAAAATCACACAAAAAAGCCTTAAAGCGGGACATCCAGAGCTGTTGCTGTTCTCACAATCATTTCTACGGTGAATCACTAGATTGAGCCGTGCTCTTAGACGGCTTTAGACAAGGCGGAGAGCTTTCAGGTTTAATGAGTCATTTGAGAAAGTGGCTGCAGATTAGGTGTCGAGATTTTAGTCTGTAATGGGTTTTCTCAGACGTTACAGGGATAGTTCACTTTGAAATTAATGTTTGGTATGTTTTATCTTACCTCAAGGGCATCCAAGACGCAGCATTTTAAATTTTGATATTTTTTAGGTCAAAGTGTTCTTGTCTGTCAGTCATATAATGGAGGTCTATGGTCACCACCTCAAAGAGCAGCACAGAGAAGTCCAAATTAAACATGATTTAATGACTCGTAAATGTAAGTACACATTGATGGCCTAAGACACGAAACGAGCGGTTTGTGTGAGAAAACGACAGTATTTATATCGTTTTTACCTCTTGTAAACACATTCTCGTCCAAGTGTTCTGAGGGCGCGGCGCTTTGTGGCTGAGGTAAAAACGATATAAATACTTTTAGTTTTCTCACACAAACCGAAACCGCTTGTTTCGTGTCTTAGGACATCAATGTGTACTTACATATACGAGTCATTAAATCATGTTTAATTTGGACTTCTCTGTGCTGCTCTTTGAGGTGGTGACCATAGACCTCCATTATATGACTGACACGGTTTGATCTAAAAATATCAAAATTGAAACTACTGCGGAAACAAAGACACCTACATCTTGGATGCCCTTGAGGGAAGATAAAACATACCAAAAATTAATTTCAAAGTGAACTATCCCTTTAAGTCATCAATCATCTAGATGGTGTTTGACAAGGTTAATGGCTGTTATCGGCACGCAAATCTTTCATTTAAATAATCCTTTAAGGCACAGAGGGAGGAGTTCACCAAGACAGAATATGTGAAATGCAATTTGAAGCATGGCATTTCATGAATCAGCTTACTTTCTGAAATAATGGTTTTAAAAAGCATTAAAATGCTGACGGATGCGCTCTACCTTCCCCGGATCTTGGCCACGTGCTCGGAGATGCAGGTGTGTATGTCGGAGTTCTTGCGGTAAACCTCAGCAAGCAGCTCACCGAAGAAGCGGTTGTCCATCTTGGCCACGGGCTCCGCCTCGAATACCTCGGTCTTGACCTCAGACGAGAAGCCATTGTTCATATCCCTCAAGTCCACGGCGACTTCCTCAACAATGCTTGAGCTCTCCACCAACTCCGACTGGGAATTGAAGAGAGGAGACTTTACTTCAGTTACATGAATTTATCTGATGTTATTCTGCAAGTTTAAAGGAGTAGTTCACTTTTGCTGATAATTTACTCATCCCCATTGTCATCCAAGATGTCCATGTCTTTCTTTCTTCAGTCGAAAAGAAATTAAGGTTTTTGATGAAAACATTTCAGGATTTTTCTCCATATAATGGACTTCAATGGGGTCCAAAAGACAGTTTCAGTGCAAACTGTTCAAAGGGCTTTAAACGATTCCAGAACAGAGCAAGGCGAGCATTTGAGCTTATAAAACTTAAACGTTGTTATTTATTTATTAAATGAGCGATCGTTTCGCTTGATAAGACCCTTATTCATCGTCTGGAATCGTTTAAAGCCCTTTGAACAGTTTGCACTGAAACTGTCTTTTGGACCCCATTGAAGTCCATTATATGGAGAAAATCCTGGAATGTTTTCATCAAAAACCTTAATTTCATTTCGACTGAAGAAAGAAAGACATGGACATCTTGGATGACACGGGGGTGAGTAAATTATCAGCAAAAGCTTTTAATCTTAAACAAATCAGCTCCAGGATCAACACTGCTCTTCCTCGACTCGATGCAAAACACAACGCTTACATAACTGTTAGTATGACAAAATGGAGGAAACTCATAGAAGCAAACTAAATATGTGTAAGCGAGCTCACAAATGTTTACAAGTATGCGTTACATTTTTGAAAGTAGACTGTGAGTGATGGCAGTCCACACCTCGATGAATAATGAGTTAAACCCCTCACCCGTGTGCATCACACACTCCAACTATACTCTTAAACGCAGAAACACAAAACTACATGCTGGGAGCTGAGTGGACCATAAAGGAGGCGTACAGTGGAGTGGGGAAATGGTCATATACAAATATTCATCCGTCTCCATGCAGATTTTGTATTCTGTACATTGCCATCTGCTAGAAAGCATTAGCAGTACTAGAGGAGATGCATAATATGATATTGGACAATATTACTATTTTTTAAATGATCCGCATTGCTCTGATTTTTCAAAGGAAGGAGAACATCTTGATGTTAATATTTAAAATATGTAGATGCATTGCCTTACGGTCACATTTAGAAGAAGCTGGGCGATGATATACTGTAGGTAAACGATTATTTTCTGTACAGTATATTTGGTCTATGCGAGTATACTGGATGTAAACAGATAAATACAGTAGTTATACATCCAACTTTATATTAAGAGCTGGGCGATAATATCTTGTTCCATTTTGCAACACACACACACACAAAAAAAAAATATTTGCTGTCAAACTGATTAATTGTGATTTTCACTTATATAATGTGTGTGCATGTAAATATTCATATATATTTATATATTCATATAATATATATATATATATATGAAGAGTTCAGATGCAAAAGCCTCTAAATGCCATTTGAAATGTTCTTCTTGAAATTTTCTTCTTGTATATTTAAGTTCAGAAGTTTCACTTAAATAACAATTAATAGGTAATCTTCATTGCCATTTAAGTGAAATTACTGAACTTAAATATACAAGCTTGATAAAAATCATCATTCTAGAAGAAAATTTCAAATGGCACTTAGAGGCTTTTGCATCTGAACTCTTCATATATATATATATATATATATATATATATATAAGGAAAGCTACTTTCAAAATAATTACAGGGAAAATGTTGTATTTTTGGTGCAGCCATAATTAATAGCGTTTTCATTCATAATTGAATTCATGATTGATATTTCTGCATTTTAAAAGCTTTAGCAGTGTGTGTGTGTGTGTGTGTGTGTGTGTGTGTTTCAAAACGATTGATGGCACAACATATAATGTAAGACAGAGCAGCAGTTTGTCAATGCTGGAGTATCTTCCAGAAGTGGAGGCGTGTCGGAGCGGTCGGGCCGGATTCTTCTGATCGGTGAGAGAGAGAGAGCCGCTCTCAGACAGAAGTAGAGCTGAACTCGCATTGCTAAAGATGTTTGATTTAATTTCTCTAATCAAGATTCTGGTTATCATTCATCGGTTTTCACCTTTAAGAGAATAATATGTGATTGAAAGTGGTGAGGTTGGTGTCGTGGCCCGATGCTGCAGGCGTCGAGTGTGTTTGACAGTGGGTGTGTGTGTGTGTGTGTGTCAGGCCTTGAGAACATTCCACACATTCTGTAGCAGAGAGACCAGCAGTGACGGTGTTAACTGGGTGTGTGTGTGTGTGTGTGTGTGTGTGTGTGGACTCACTACTGAGACTTCTGTGTCACGAAACCGGTTTGGAGCTGCAACAACAAAGAGCCCAGCTTGTTAACAGTTACGCATATATTACTAAAACTGTGCTTTTTACAGGATTAGCTGTGCATGAGATGATGCAGAGTTGTGTGTGTGTGTGTGTGTGTGTGTCTAGGTGTGTTCATTCAAGATTAGAAATCATCAATGATTGAAACGTACTTTGGACATTAGCTACTTTTACCGTCCGACATGTCGCAGCAGGTTCTGCACAGCAAGCAAAGACACATCAGAGACGTCAGATCTTCTACAGTGACGAGACGCAGCATCACTACAATTACACACTTGATCAGCAATAACAGTGCGCATTACTCAAAGGAAATCAAATATGCAATAGCCATTTTATCTCTCCACACTTCCTATTTTTAATTTCTATATATTTTTTTCACTTTGTTTTTATATAATCTGTATATGCCTCTTTTGAGTTATTTTCCCTCCTTTTGTATGTATGTAGCCTTTGTATATATATATATATATATATATATATATATATGAAGAGTTCAGATGCAAAAGCCTCTAAGTGCCATTTGAAATTTTCTTCTAGAATGATCATTTTTATCAAGCTTGTATATTTAAGTTCAGTGATTTCACTTAAATGGCAATGAGAATTACCTATTAATTGTTATTTAAGTGAAATTACTGAACTTAAATATACAAGCTTGATAAAAATCATCATTAAAGAAGAAAATTTCAAATGGCATTTAGAGGCTTTTGCATCTGAACTCTTCATATATTTGTGTGTGCATGTATATGTATGTATGTATAGGCATATGCATGTGTTCAGGTTCATTCGTATTGTCCTCTGTTTGATTACGTTTGTATATTTGCTGGCTCACTTGTTTTCTCTTGTATTATGCAATCTTGCTTGTCATCAACTATTTGTTTGTCCAATACTTCACATTTATATTGGTTTATATTTGTTTTGTACTGTTACGTTTGTTTGTTTTTTCTTCTGTACTTATTTGTATTGCTTGCTTAATAAACTAAATAAATAAATAAGAGTGTGCATTTCAATTTTTTAGGTCCAATTCTCAGTATAGTTCCTTATGCAGATCACTAGGATATTGGCTGATTATTGGTACATATAAAGCACATATAAATGCATAATCATATTCTACATACCTTAATGCTACAAAACAACTAATAAGCAGTAAATTAGTTTATTCTGGCAAAAATTGGACCATAATCTAAAGTGTGACCAAAAAAACGTAATATATGGATTGTCAAGAGAGAATGCGCAGAAGATTTCTAGTAGTAGCTCTAGATCACCTATAGTATATACTGCCTTCTTATATGCAAATGATTCAGTTGTACTACTGTAACCTCGACTCACACCGCAGGATTGAGCAACTCCATTATGCTGTAATCCTAAAATATTACAGAACATTCATTCAAAAATGTATATACTACATATATATATATATATATATATATATATCCCATTATGTTGTTAAAGATATGAAAAAAAATGCATAGCCTTTATATAAGCAGTAGGGTTATATTATATAATAATATATAATCCATAATCACTAGGCCTTCCATTTGAATAATAATGAATCAAATAAATTGTATGATATGTAGATTCCAAGTTGGAGTCTGTTCACACAGGACATGTTGTTGTTGTTGTTGTTGTTGTTGACATACAGTCAGACATCCAGAAGGTAGAGTGGGCAAAAGTTATACTTTATCATCTAATAGAAGTTGTTTTTGTTTTTTATATTGTATTATATTGTGTGTACTGTCTTATTTGTCTGTCTTTTTATCTGGACCGGTGAGTCTGTATTAAAGTTTATTATTATTATTATTATAATGTCCCTTTACTTTGATGTGAACTAAATCTGAAGTGGAACTAAATCTTATCAAACCTTTTGATAAGCGAGTTCCCAAGAATGAGAAGGCGACAGTAATCATTACTACTGTGAATGTCCTCTCTCTCTCTCTGCCGTTTGCTTCCCACAATCCCTCCTGTGTGCAGAAATAGGCCAGCGAGAGCCAACGCTTGTGTCCGTGTGCTAGCAGGGCAAAAGGAGGAGGAGATCGCTTTCACACTACACCTGTGTCTGACTGACCAATGGACCGACACACACGAGAGAAACTGAGAGATTTGACATTTGAACGAATGAGGGACTAGAGCTTTGTGTTTTGTTGGATCAGTTATCTTTGGCTATTGTAAAACTATTCATTAAGTGTTGAATCTTTGAAATGAAAATAGCCTGAAAGCCTTTACAAAGAATCTTTCAAAAACTGCAATATTATTTTTCTGTTTATAAATCACATGATCCTGAGTCCTTTTGGTTTATTTTAGTATGGTTTTTAAATGCCAAATGCACACATAAACTATACATGAAGATTATTAATACAATATTGTAATCCCTCAGAGATGTTGCAAAGAAACATGTTTTTTTTTTGCATTCAATTTTCGCTCGAAGTCCTTGTATTGCAAGAGCCGAGTCTAAATCATGAGTCAGCTATCACACGAAAAGGCAAACAGTCAGGGGCGAAAATACAAATTTAAACATTGAAGTCTTAATAATAATGTATAAAATCGTAAGTACAAGCCATTTCTCAAGTTCATTAAAGAAAATGTCATACTATCACAGTCCCCCTGCTGGAGGACTCTTATTATGTTATTGTGTTGCCTTGATGTGTTCTGGTTTTATTTTCGGTGCATTTGTTCCTGTTTCCATTTCCGTCTGGTTAGTATTCATTCATAATGACCCGTGTCAGTCGTCACAATTACCTCCTCTTCTATTCTTGCGTATTTCATTTAAAAAACCCATGTTTTAATCAGTAAAGTCTGTAAAGGCTTCTTGTTTGGATAATCCGTGTGTATGAGATGCTCACGCACTAAAGCCCATTATTATATTCATCAGTGTTCCTGCATCAGCTCAATGACATCATGTGAAACCGCTCCTAACCAAACTTCAATGCCATCCCACAGTACAATCCCACAATGCAAGGCAAGCTAAAGTGTGTTGAGTGCAATATATCCGCCTAAACCCTCCTCGGTGTACGAAACTCAAAGCTTATGATGTGCTTCCCTACTCCTGTCCCAGCATGTTTGCAAGCACAACCCTATGACTACGACTACGGCTTTAAATGCTTTTAAACTTTAGGATAGGCCAGCTCAAGGGTTAAATACAGAGACAGTGTTAAAAATATGTGATTTTTTTTTTTAAATCAATGTTTGTATGAACTATGACCTGCAAATGCGTACAGTGGAAAGACTATCACAAATGGAGGAGACGTCAGTGAGAAATACACTGAAAACCTCCAGAAATCAGTTTATTGAAATGACCCGATTTATCAGTTTACGTGCAAACCAATCTCGGACAATGCAAGTAAACCGTGACTGTGTTAAAAACAGGTCGTGGTGACGCATTTCACTAAGAGTACGCAACTTTAATATAATTACACTCATGATGAAATATAAATTCTTAACAGTGCTTTTTGCGTACGTGTGGTTTCAGTTCTTGTATTTTTCCGTAAATTTAGCCTCAAATTCAGCCTCCATTCTTCGAGAAAAAAAAAAACGGGTAAAAGGAAACAAAAACCTTGACAAATTACCGTATATATGACCCCACCAAATCACAGAGATGCCGATTCACAAATGACTAATATCATCACATGACATCAGTTATATGGTTATATTCTCAAATCTAGCATTTATGTATCTCACAGACACACTTTTTGCACAATTTAAAATATTACAACTCAATTGACTACTTGATAGACTAACTAAAGCACAGCTCGACTGCATGTTATTTTGTCACAGAAGGTGGTTGTTGGAGCTCTTTTCCACACCCGTCCTCGTCGTGTCGCCGCAGGCTGGCTGACAGCAACAGTTAAAGCGATAAAGGGACACTCCCTCAACACTTTCCTTCTGATATTATGACTATTGTGGGTCTAATATAAATGGGTGTTAACACACACTCTCCTCTGGGAATCAGCGAGTCCATTCTTTCTCTGAGACACACCCTGAACCCTGCAGGTACTGCACTGCTGCGCAGACGCAGACACTGTGCTCTCACACACACACACACACACCAGAGCCTGCCTTACAGTAGAGCTCGTTCTCCCAGCTCATCAAGCACGCCCGAGGCAAGCGTGTGTAATACAGTATCTATCACTCACGTAAAGGTGCACAAGTCAAGAGGTCAAGGGTACCTTTAGATGTGTTTGTGTGCTAACCATACAGTATTCAGCTGCATATATGTTAGTAAACATAATACAGGTTATTTTCGTACCTCAGATGGATCAGGGCTCTTGACGGGACTGGATAACTGGCTGTAGACCGACGTTTGTCCATTTATGTTCTGAAAATAGAAATTAATCAGGCTTTTTCAACAGGTTTTGTCTTGTGCTTAAAAGTACAAAAAAGTGGTTTTGGTGTCTTTTTTTTAAATTAAATCAAAATCTAAAAGGTACAAGGGGAAAAGGCTAACTTTATAACAAAATTATTAACACTCACAAACATTTTAAACCAAGTTATTATAATAATATAAGCGATATACAATATACAGTAAACATTCATTTATTAGAGAGCTAGTTGTCACTTTTTACTCCAGTAAATAAACATATTTTGCTGATTACAAAAAACCTATTGAGGGTTTCTGCCATTATTTGACAGAAAGAACATGCACTGACCAATCGCAGGACATGTTAGGATATAAAAAGATAAAATCATCATTTGAGATTGGAAGACAGAATTCACACTTGATACCAACATAAAGAAACATGTTTAAAGCCACAGTTACTGAGAAAGCCCCTTATTCACACCAGAACATTAATAATGGCCATGAATCGACACACTGATCCTGTACGATGGACGATACTGTGATCTCCTGAGATATGGACACCACAAACACACACTGCCGTCGGTCTCCACACACCCTTTTCCCTCCTGTCCTTCCTTCACATTTGTTCCTTCTCCCCATTTCCTTCCCTACTAAAGGAGTAGTTCACTTTTCAAAACACTTTTGCTGATAATTTACTCGCCCCCGTGTCATCCAAGATGTCCATGTCTTTCTTTCTTCAGTCGAAAAGAAATTAAGGTTTTTGATGAAAACATTCCAGGATTTTCTCCATATAATGGACTTCAATGGGGACCAAACGGTTCAAGGGCCAAAAGACGGTTTCAAAGGGCTTTAAATAATTCCAGAACAGAGCAAGGCAAGCATTTGAGCTTATAAAACTTAAACTTAGTTATTTATTTATTAAATGAGCGATCGTTTCGCTTGATAAGACCCTTATTCATCGTCTGAAATCGTTTAAAGCCCTTTGAACAGTTTGCACTGAAACTGTCTTTTGGACCCCATTGGAGTCCATTATATGGAGAAAATCCTGGAATGTTTTCATCAAAAACCTTCATTTTTGGTACGGCAGAAAAGGTTCTCAATAATTACGCGTCAAGTTTTAAATGGGAAAAATATTGAAACTCTCTTTGGTCATTTTATTTTATTTTTTACAAAAAAAAAAAAAAAACGTATTAAATGTTATTTATGACCCACATTTCTTATATGAAGATTCAAATATAAATGAAAGGCATGAGAGTCGGCTCTTTTGTCAATTGTAAGTTTAAAATGTTTGTGATTTTAATAACTATGTTTTACCACTTACTTGAGCCACTTGATATAAAAATCTAGAAATAATTAATTGAATAATGCATTGTTCAAATTTAGCGCGTTTAAACGTGAATACGTCAATGAAATTATAGTCTAACTGTTCTGTGTACAAAAGAGAATCACGATGAAGCATTTTTCTGTCACAAATGTTGTTTTAAAATAAAAACACTGAATAAAAGCTGTGTTTGTGGTATACAGGGAGATATGTGTGGTATGTGAAAGCACATGAGCCAGTGTTTCTACACTGCATAGGCTACACACTGCAAAGGGAGTGTGTGTGACTGATGTGTGAGGCTGGGATAAGATTCAGAACATTCAGTTACGCTCGTTTTCTTTCTCAACTGTCCAGACACATACGACTGCATTTAAATTAGATTAGATTTTGTGCACATAAAGCCACCTCTCATAAACTTTGTGAGTGCCAAACACTCTTAATCAGACAAATACACACAAAAATAATGGCACGATGTCTGTCTTGCCGAATATTCACATCACAAGCACAATCATCCTAAGTGAATGTAAACAGTCCAGAACGAAAGCACGTGTGTACTGGATCTGCATCTTTATTCTGTTGTATTTATTTGTGCTATTCTTAGTCATTTGTTTATTTGTTCTTATTTTAATGCTAACGGTTTACTTGGCTTTTTAAAAATCAAACTATCGTGTGTTATTGCAAAAAAAAAAAATAGCCATTGTAAAGAGAAAGACACAAATACATTGACAAATACTTATATATATATATATATATATATATATATATATATATATTAGGGCTGTGCAAAAGTTAATTGCGATTAATCGCATCCAAAATAAAAGTCTGTGTTTACATAATATATTTGTGTGTGCTGTATATAATTATTTTTTATATATAAATACCTATGCATGCATGTATATATTTAAGAATTATTTGCGCTTAAATTCTGTATACATTTATAAATACATAATCTATATTATATAAATATTTTATATATGAATAACACATTTTCTTAAATATATACATGCATGTGTGTGTATTTATATATACAAAATAATTATATACAGCACACACAAATATATTATGTAAACACAGACTTTTATTTTGGATGCGATTAATCCAAATTAACTTTTGCACAGCCCTAATATATATATATATATATATATATATATGAAGAGTTCAGATGCAAAGGCTCTAAATGCCATTTGAAATTTTCTTCTTTAATGATGATTTTTATCAAACTTGTATATTTAAGTTCAGTAATTTCACTTAAATAATGCCATTTAAGTGAAATTACTGAACTTAATTATACAAGTTTGATAAAAAATCATCATTAAAGAAGAAAATTTCAAATGGCATTTAGAGGCTTTTGCATCTGAACTCTTCATATATAAACACTTTGAAATCTGTCATCATATAAAGCGATCTAGGCTTTCAATGGATGGACAAGAATATTAAACAATATCTATACGCACGTCCCATGGAATCGAAAAATGGAATTGAATACCGAAATTCCAGTATCGTGACAACACTGGTGTAATCTGCCACAAGTTATTGAAATAGTTATAGTGCATTAGCACATTCATGTCAAATTTTAATTTCTGATCTAGGCGGCGCTAAAGAAACCTAAACATTTAAACTGAGACTGAGTGAGTGTGCCGCTAACATTAAACTCCACACAGCTGTATCGACACGACCAGCATCATCACCATCTGTTCTCAACAAACTACCTGGTCATTCTCAATATAGCTACATTAACTAAGTAAACACAATATTATTAATGCTATTAACTATTTAGATGCTACTGTAAAGCAAAAGGAAAAGTTATAAGCACAAATAAACACTCACAACTTGTCTGTAGTCGGTCTCGTCGACGCTGCTGACGCTCGCGGGCTGGACGTACACTTGTTGCATGACGCGCGGCGCCTGGCTCAGGTACACGTACGACTCCGCGGGCCGCTGCTGCACGGGCACCAGGTAACGCGCGCTCCCGTACACCACGTTCCCCTCCATTTGGTTGCTAATGTACTGGACCGGCTGTAGTTGAGATCCAGCGAGGGTTACGGTGCGGTAAGACGTCGAACCGTCACTTATCCCGACAGGAGAGGCTGGTTGCAGCTGAGACCCAGCGAGGGTTACCGTGCGGTAAGTCGTTCCTTCGCTCATCCCGACCGGAGAGGTTGGTTGCATCTGAGATCCGGCGACGGTTACCGTGCGATAAGTCGTCGATCCGTTGTTTATCCCGACGGGAGTGGATGTCAGGACAGTGTGTGAGCTCGGTTCCGCGACGGTAGAGTTGTGACGTTCGCGAACGAACCGATTCTTTTGAACGGCTCATAAACATGAACGATGGGAGCCGAGTCGCGGCAGGAGGGGAGCCGTTCTTTCTGTCGTTCTTTTTTCCTATGCGTGTTTTACACAGATGCACATCAATTACCTCCTCAGTTACAGGGGAAGGGGCGCCCAGCGCAGGGGTGATAGTTGTGCACGCGCGTGCATCTTTTACATTATCTTTTATAACCCTACGTGCCTATGTCATTGGGTTGGAGCGGAGCCAAAACTTGTGCACGCCGCCATCACATGGTTACTCCAGTTTTTTTTTTTTTTTTTTAAAGCCATAAAGTAAGGAACTGCTTGTATTTATTTACATTGCATTTTGTGTTCATGTTAATGTTATTGTATCTACAGTATATATTTCCAACTTTAAATATTTTTTGTTTTTTATCAAAATGTTCTTGTGGTATTGTATGAAAAACATAAGTCAACAGCTTTACACATACACTCACTTTGTACTAAAGGTAAATACAAAATAGTGATGTCACATTCTAAGCAGAGGGATGTTGTGCAACCCTTTGAAATATAGCCCACACGTGACAAATGAGGTAATCAATATTTCAGAATAATTCAAACTCAGATATTGATGCGTGATATCTGAGTTTGAATTATTTGACTACAAATCTCACCTCATCATTCCTCCCAGTGATTATACTAAATATTTAAAAAGAGCCAAAAGAGCCATTCTTTTGAACGGCTCTTTGAAAGGAACGGATCGCCAAGATCCGGATCCCCTCAAAGAGCCATAAATCCCATCACTACGCGACGGTGACGGTGTTCCGTGTCCTCACGCTGTGAGAGTATGGTAGAGTCATTTCTGCGGGTGTGTAAGTCCGAAAATTTAAGAAAGAATTATCATTGATATGATGAACGAGAAAAACAGTGTGTGTGAAGTTTGCCGACTCCCGAAGTCTCTCCGGTAATGTTGTATAAATGAGAAAAGGCGTGTTTCCTCAATCACTCCTCCTCCTCTCTGAGCTCAAATATCTGAAAGGAGGAACAGGAGGTTCACCTGTGCACTGTGGGAAAGGTTGGCACATTTATTAAAGGGACAGTTCACAAAAAAAAAAAAAAAAAAAAAAATCATCATTTTCATCTGTCATCATTTACTCACCCTCAAGTTGTTCCAAATCCGTATGAGTTTCTTTCTAATGCTGAACACAAAAGAAGATATTTTGAAGAATGTTCAGTCAACTGTATTGACTTCCACAGTAGGAAAAAATAATACTATGGAGGTCTGGTTACCAACATTCTTCAAAATATATAAATATATATTTGTGTTTAGCAGAGGAAAGAAACTCATACAGGTTTGGAACAACTGAGAATGACAGACTTTTAATTTTTGATTGAACTCCTTTAATGTTAATATCCTACAAGATGTAACTTAATTTAAAAGAGATCATTTATTTTAGGATCCTTGCTGTGTTATAAAGTGAGCTTTATGTTATCCACGTAAGTTCACCAACATTTTTCCTAGGGTTTTTTTTTTTTTTTTTTTTTTAGAATTTGATTTATTTAGAAAATTAAATAAATGAAAATTTATTTAGAAAATGAAAAATCATTTAATTTTAATAATTAGAACAACTTCAGTTTGCAATGTCTTTAATTTGTATACTGTAATTGATGGATTCATTTCTTGCTCATTTTCTCTCATCTTTTCTCCTATCTTCCTTCCTTGTCATTAGAAAATTTTAAACATTTTTAAATTAAGCAAAACTTCTTTTTATTCTCTGTATTCTGACGCTCGCAGACGCGCCGCCGAGCCCAGAAAAATCTAGCATATATATATATATATTAGGGCTGTGCAAAAATTAATTGCGATTAATCGCATCCAAAATAAAAGTCTGTGATTACATAATATATTTGTGTGTGCTGTATATAATTATTTTGTATATATAAATACACACACATGCATGTATATATTTAAGAAAATGTGTTATTCATATATAAAATATTTATATTTATATAATATAGATTATGTATTTTTATATATATACAGAATTTAAGCGCAAATAATTCTTAAATATATACATGCATGCATAGGTATTTATTTATACAAAATAATTACATACAGCACACACAAATATATTAAGTAAACAGAGACTTTTATTTTGGATGCGATTAATCGCAATTAATTTTTGCACAGCCCTAATATATATATATATATATATATATACACGTTTCCAACATAACATAGAACTGTATGGTGTTGTTCCTTAGTTTTGTTTAATCCTATGCCTGACTAAATGGGACGAATAAACAACAAACTTTCCGTGAAAATTGCGTTTATTATCAGGGTGCACAGTTACATCAGACAGAGCAAAATAAATCAAACCAGCCACAAAAAAAAAACGGACATTTTTAATACAATCATTGTCTATTATTCAAGCAACAGATCATAATAAATAATGAGTTTGTGTTGACAAAAGACATTTAACTAAAGAGTGGATCACAAAGAAATTGTCAACTGCAAGCATACAGTATACCAGCAATGGATATTGGATGCTTTTTAATTTTTGAGAGAAAAAAAAAAGAAAGAAAAAAAAAAGCAGCATTGGGGATTTTATTTGCTTTTATACCCACTTTCAAAACACACACACACATATAGTAAATATTATGTGTGTGGACAGTTAATTCTGCACTTTTTCATAAGCTCATTTATCAAATGAACATTTTAAATTGGAGTAAATTGTAAAATCATTTAATTCGATAAAACAGCAAATATCTGCAAAATAAAAAGCAAATATTTTGAAAACCTGCAAATAACCTAAATTGAAATAAAAACACTGGCACATTCGTTAATGTGGTTCTAAGCATTTTCAAAAGTCCTCCAGAGAGGAATATTTCATGCACATGCTGTGATGAGCAGTCGAGCAGAAGCCGAATCTGAGAAGCAAGTATATCAGAGGAAACCCCTGAATAACACGGCATTACACACATTAAGCCGTTTCAACTCATCCCTTAAAGAACAGTTTGCCCGTATGTATAACTTAAGCAATAATGTTTGATTAGTAGTTTGAGTTGCTGCTTCTGAACATGTTAAAGGTGATGAACAACAGAGCACATTGAATATAGCAGAAGTTGGACTAGCACACCATAAAACGATCAGGCAAAGGCAGAAACACAAAAGCAGGAAGTGGTAAGGCTTGAAATATATTGACATAAAATGATATATATGTAACAGTACTTTCCCAATAATAATAATAATGTCACTTAAAAACTCCGAAACAGCAGTGCAGTTCTGCTTCAAAACATGGACAATTTGGCAAAGGAGGCAAGAAGCAACAAAAATGCCACCGACCCTTTTCCACAAAATCTGACCTAAAATAATAATAATAAAAAAAAAATGGAAATGCTAATATTTCATTTTTGTTCTATCATACAGTAGCAGTTTTCACACTTTTGACAGTTGCCAAAAAATGTTTAATATTTTGCATGTGCTTCTCAGAACACACACACACACACACACATGTGGCACTAAAGAGAGTTGCAAAAAAAAAAAGTGATATTAAATTCTGTGCGTGTTCAAGCATAAACTCCAGCGGTTTTATTTAGACATCTAAATAAACGAAGCTTTCAGCGCACATCGGCCCGAAACAAGCCATGTTGACTTAGACGTGACAAACTGAGCAAGAACGGACTCGTGAACGATTAAAGATGCACTCAAATTTGCTGGAGTTTTATGATTTCAAAGATCAACGATGCGAGGTCACATGACCATCTTACTAGTTCCTTTGGTTTTCATTTGACCTGTATTCAAGTTTGCATGGAGATTTCCAATCATATCTGCCGTCTACAGATAAAGCAAAAAGATTTGTCATTGAAGCAGTTTAATGTCTCATTTGGAGTGTGCTGACCTCAAATATTCTAGAAAAAAATAGAAATCGACTTCTATTCAGTAATACACTAACTACTGCTCTACGTCCGGTGGACGTGTTGAGCATAATCTTCTGAAACATCACGAGAACATGCGCTGACGGACAGAGAGCTGCCACGAGCCAAACATAAAGCATGAATGAGTGCAAAAACGAGTGTCAAGTATGTGCAACACAAATGATGAGATGACAATAAAACAAGTTCTTAAATAAACACACGTATAGGTGTGTCTGATGGAGAAGGGATGATGAATGTTGAAGGACCAACACACACTCACACACACACACTCAGCTACAATGGAAACTTCTTCAGCTGCTCAAAGGTGAGGAAGAACTGAAATGTAAGTCAAGGATCACAGGAATATACAAGAATACATAGATATCAAATCTTACGTCACAATATTCAGTGTTTTGCTGAAGTAGACTTCAGTGTTTCGTGCACTACTTTTTTAGCAGTGGTCTGAATCGAACACAGATGACTCATATGAACCAGATCTTTTTACCAAATCAAAATCAAATCGGATTCTTAAAAGAATGACTATCATGAGCCGTTTGTTTTAATCAATAATAATAATAATTCAAAAAGTGGTCTATTCTGTACAGGTATTTTGACTAATTCTGGTTAATGAATCACTGCCAGACTCGCTTTGAACGGCATTGCAAGTTTTCATAATGTATCATTTCATTACTGACTGCTTTCCGTATGGCAATGTGTTTTGGCTGAAAATCGACAAACTTATTATCCTCCAAGTCTACTTCAAAATGCATTACAATACACAGAAAATATCGAAGCCAATATTTTGAAAATATTAAGAGACAAAATTAAAATATTACTCTCTAGGGCACCTTTAACCAAATTTATTTGAAATGTTTTGATTGAAATGTGTGTATACAAATGTATAATATATTATGTGTATATAAATGTATAATTACTTAAAATAAATGCTACTTTTATTGTAATATGTTCATGAAAATATATTAAAAGGAATACATATTTTCTGACTTAAGTGTCCAGTGTGTGTGTGTGTGTGTTATATATCCATCGATCTCATGTTGCAGTGTACTGACCTCTAGTGGTTGAAGTGTAGTTTGAAGCACATGAAAAACTGGAATGTGAAAGCTGTCATGCGGATTTGTGAAATCGCGAACTCGTGTCCGCACTTGTACAAGAAGTAAAGTAACCTACTCGTGCGTTTTAGCCCAGGACGTCAGAAATATTTTCATGATTTATCCTTAAAATATTTTTTTCTTTTTCTTTTGTCAAATCAACTGGATAATTTATGTGGTTCAGATAACATAATATTTTGAGTTTCTGTTGATTAAACCAATCTCAAATTTCTCTTATTTCAATTAACTCAATTTTAAGGCAACCAGGTAACTTTAAGTTTTTTTTTTTTTTTTTGGAAATAGGCTCATTTTCCAACTCCCCCGAGTTAAACTGTTGAATCCATTCAGAAGATCTCCGGTTCTGGCTGGTTCCGGTACCACTTTTAGCATAGCTTAGCATACATCATTGAAGTGGACAAGACCATTAGCATTTCTCAAAAAAAAAAAAAATGACCAAAGAGTTTTGATATTTTTCCTATTTTCCTATTTTTTTATAAAGGATACAATGATGTTCCAGGGCCCGAGACGCAGCCAGTTGGGCCAGAAGCCTTTATAGAGGGCAAAAAAGCCTTCATTTCTCCAGGTCTGCATGAGTCCGTCCAGGGTGCCCTTGTACATGTGATTCCCGGCGAGCACACGCTGATTCATCATACGCGTCCTCACCACGTCCACCGGGTTGGACGCCAGCGCTCCTGCCAGACCACACGCAAAACTAGAGCTAAACAAACAGAAGCAAAAACGTGACTCATGAAGCCAATGCTCTCATCATTCAAATTTCACATCAACTGCTAGAAATGCTCACATGAAATGAGTTAACACGGTGTCTCCCATCAGGCCTGAGAGAATCAAATGCTTCTTGGTGATGTCATAGACCGGCAGCTCCACACCTACCACGATGGCCGCCCTCTGGGCAGTGGGAATGACACCCTGAAAACAAGAAGGACGTCACTGTAGCAAAAGCACAATCCCTAAGGAGAGATTCAAACAGCGACTCACCCTCCACAGGCCTCGCGTGCCCTCGGTCTGGTAAATGTTGATGAAGTTAGACATCATGCTGCCCTGTAACAGGCTGCCTTGAGCCTGCATGCGAATCTGAACAAGCCGAGGGAAATAAGACATCAGATAAAACCAGCTCAGTGTCTGTGCTGTTAAAAATAATTTAGGTTTACATGATATATCGAAATTTAAAATATCACAAATGTACATTATCGCAATAGTATGGAAGCTTGTTTCCACCACTGAATTAAAAAAAACAATTCCGAGATAAAACAATCATCAAACAAATATCATGCGTCAATAAAATTTTCCATATTTATTTATTAATATTTATATATTTTTTTACATTTATAATTTTTATACTCTCAGGATAATTCTATAACAGAAAAAAAGACTAATTATATGCAGATGTGTTCAAATTTTTCTGCATTATTATCCTAAAATCTGTAGATTTTACAAACCTTCAGCACATCAGTTGGATTTGCCAAAGAGGAGGACAGAACACCGGACACCACCCCACAGAACACATTAATCACCATAGTTTCATCTGAAAAACACATAAGAGCCCCCGTTAGATTAAAAACGTTCTTTAAAAAAAATCAATTAGCCATTCAAATCGATACTCAACAAGACATGCAATAACCAACCACAGATAAACTCATTTAAAGCCTTAGTTTTGTAAAGCCTGGTTCCAGTATTTTGAGATCTTAGTCTTTATAGAGCACCGCACTAATGAGAAGAACAAAATGTAAGTGTGGTGGATCAAATTTAGATGAATAATTACAATAATTCCTTGATCAATGTGACCAACGGCCGTTTATTTTGACAGAAGTGTCAAAACGAAAAGAAGAATAAGCATTTGACACAAACTGGCATCATCCTAGGAAAACCATGCAGTATAAGCAATCAGAAGAGCGTGATCAATACAATAGAAAGGCCAAGCTGTGAGCCTTCTTTGAGTGTTTGTCACAGGATTTAAGTAAGACAGATGATGGACATCCGCTGGCGCCAGCACCAGATAAGGTAATGCTAGAGACCTGTCTGCCTAGCTTTTGTTTGGACCGCACATTAGTGATGGTGGTTACACCTTGTTTTCAACAACGGTATTGGGTGAGGCCCGTAAATGGTGGAACATTTTAGCTAAATGCTACATAAAAAAAAAATCAAAAATAAAAGCTCAAAATAAAAATAAATAAAAAAATAAAAAAATATGTGTTCCTTAAAACCCTGTTATCTATATCCTTCGAAAGCCCTGAACCACAACATAAAAAAAAATTGTATATTTTTTCTACCATTGAGAATAAAGTCAAAACTTTTCGAGAATAAGTCGAAACATTTCCATTCTGTTCTCAAACTACAGAAATGTTGCACTGAGAAGAAAAGATGTTATATGAAATGAAGAGTATGATCAAAGTATTCCTCCTAAACCCACCTTCAGGATGGCTAACGAACAGTTTCTTCAGTGTGTTGTATGTCCCGATCTTGATTGTGCCGTAGGAAGCTTGTCGGAGGAGCGCTGGTGAAATTCTAGGAATAAAAAAAAACACACACAACTTCAAGGTCATTGCTTTCTTTCCATTCTGAGGTTATATGGAAATAGATTAGTTTAAATGACAGACTAAAGACCATCCAATGACAAACTGACCATTACTGTTTTAGTAGAGTAATCAAAATACAGAACAGAATGAATGTTCGTCAATGTCAGAAAACATTAACGTGTGCACATTATCAAAAGTTTGTCGAAACGCTTTCTCATATGTTTAGAAGACTAAGACAAAATCATGCAAAGCACATATGCAAATTGGTTCAACAAAAGACACAATTTTCCCAAGTACCCCAGGAACATTTAGAAGTAGATTGGGTTTACTCTGAAATCAATGCAAAATTGCACAAAGTATTGCGATACGTGGTGGACGAAGTACACAAATCAAGTACTTGAGTAAAATATTCCTCCAGTGAAAGTAACAGTACAAAACTACTTGATTTTTAGAATGAACAATGATTTTTTCGATGAAACACATTTATTTTTTACTAGCCAACACTAATCTATAAGAAAGATAAGAGCAGACATTGAATATGTATTGATCTGAAAACATGAACTTTCAATATACTAAAACATCAAATTAAGTTACTGATAATTCAAGTGTTCAAACAAGTGAAAATGACTAAATATATCATATAGTGTAAAGAAAATCCGGGAATACAAATTGTCTGTAGTTGTTTGCAGAGGTAACACGGATTAAAAGGCAAGAAACATTTTTGGAAGAATGCGTCGCAAACATCCACAATCAGGCATTTCATTCAATGGCCTTAAAAAGCAGATTTAGTCCTGAAAAATAACTAACATGATCTTCATTAGGGATGCAGACGCACCGGACGGACTTTTTTGGCCCGATACCAATTTTAACAAACAATTATTGGCAGATTCAGATACTGATATTTGTCACTTGCTCTCTTATTTGAAGTTTGGTCGTAAGTATTTTGATCGTGTTTTAAATTAGCAAAGTTCAAAATGCATGCAGCACTAAGCCATACTAACTAGTTTATTGCTGCATCAATCATCAAACAATTTCTATTGAACAATGATTGGATCCATTTAACATTCAGCAGGCCAACATAAATAGGCTCAAATCAATTCTGTATAGTTGTAAACTGTTTTATGCACATTTTTCACATTGACAAGTTTGAGGTTGACATTTATCCATTTTTTGTATTGAATAAAATACAAATATATTTTTGTTTATTTGATATTTATCTAGTTACTATTGATTTCTAACAAACATTGCCTTCAAATTGGGAGAGTAAGGATTATTTTGATGTATGGCGTATGAAAATGCTCAAAGGAATGACAGCACAGCATGTAAAAATAGAAAGATATACTCTTGGTGGAATTGTTCTGTGGAAGGTCATTAAGGGTTAATAACAGTGTAATATCCTAACCATAAGCTCCAGGCCAGGAAAAGAAATGGCAGATTAATACGAGATGATGATGGTTTAAAAAAACGAGATGCTCTCTGTGACCCACAGATAAAATGACCAAGTGTACTGGAACGACTGCAGTCTGTGCATGCCAAAGAAGAGGGCCAGTTTCACTCGACTCAGCTCCGCTACAGACCTCGTGAGTCGTGAATTAAATATCATCTATATTTAGAGTTTATTACTGCTATCAGCTGTATTTAAAACCCACTGAACGGGTTACATATAAACCTTTATAAGGGAACACAACTCTGATCTTCAGAAATTACACAGTAAAACACTATAACACTGATGCTAAAGTCTATTTAAATGATTCAAACTCACCCCGAATACAACGCCCGGACGCCTTCTTCCCTTCCGATCCTGAATAAAGCGTGGAACATCCCTCGATATCGGACCTCCATGCAGTGCGTCTGCCCTTGAACCTGGAGCCGCGTTTTGGTGAGATCAATAGGAAACGTGCCTGCAAGGTTCAACTATGGGTTACCTTTCATTCAGACCAAATCTAGAAGTCATAAGTAGTACTTTATCTATAGTACCACCCTATTTTGAACAGTTCATTCTCTTTGTGTGGTTTGGAATGTTGTTTTTCATGTTCTGCAATTGTTTTTGAACATCGTTCTTCCACGAACAATCAAAGCTCATTATTTAATCCCTACAACATACAAACACGGCAATTGCGATTTTAAAGGTAATAATTTGATTAGTTATTATAGTATATTAAGAACAGAAACTAATAGAAGTAATGAATACTAATAATAATAATTATGTGACAGATTCACAATTATAATGTTATACTAATATAACAACTATAGTAATGATAATAATAATAAAAAATCTAATGCATCTTTTATTGTGGAAAGGGTTAGCCTAACCTAATTATTATTTACGTGTTAGTGTCAAAATGTAGAAAGAAACTCGTTTCTTTATATCAGCTATTAGACACGTAAACAAAAAATAATAACATATCTATATTCTCTCAAATATGAATATGCATTCTATCACTTTCATATGAACATGAAACAAATACAAATACCCTATGCAAACTTAAATGAAGAAGTGATCTTTTATAGCTGATAAAAACAGCAGGTGCACAACACAGACTCACCGAATTCTGCGACAATTGAGGCCATTCCTCCATAGACGAACGGCTTCCAGTTCAGGTTTGCCATTTCTGTAGCGGCGCCCTCGGCTTGATGGAGTCCGACTAAAAACAGCAGAAACCCAAAATATGAGCAAACCAGCTGTTTTAATCTCACACTGTACAACATAGCGCTATCCGTCTGTGTCACAGCCAGTCTTCCCAGATGCAGACAAATGTGCACCGGAATATGACGAACCGCATTAAAGAATCATTGCAAGCGCCATAGGACATTTACGGAAATTCTATTGGTTGTAGAGTCTGTCAGTCATTTGATCTGCGAACCTCATTGGTAGGAGTGATCTGAAGTTCCACCTACTTCCGTCGCCAAGGAAGTTGAGTGACAGCAAGCAACGGCTCTCGCCTATTCTCTCCTCAAACCGTGTAACATTGAACTTTTTAGGTTATCATAGCCAATTAAAAAGAGAAACAGAACGCGACCAAACTCACCAATATAAATAAAGTGGTTATATGGCGTTGGCGTAGTGTGAAAGACCGCAATACTTTGGTTCGCACATCTAACGGCTTGTAACTGTTAATGTTAGCCAGGTACGCAGAAACACTCCCAGCGTTATAAAGTACAAAACTGAGTAATGGCGACATTCAATATCGCTTCGCGAGCTCACGTACCTGAGGCTTGGTGGTTCAGTCAGCTTTGTGATTTTATTTTTGACTCCATCGTCTCGACCACATGTAGGATTATAGGACTTTTCGCAGTCAAACTCCAGGAGCGCACCTACGGCTCTTAGTTTACAATCATGTCTCTCTAGCAGGAACAACTCACCGCAACCGGAAGTTCCCGCCCGGAAGTTTGAAAGACACTGGACTCCGCCCCCTCTACATTTCAATGTCACCCTGTCCGTCAAGGGGAGCAATGTTTTTTCTTTATTTATTTTTTTTACTTTGTCCAACAGGGGGACGCTAAATAAATAAATTGGGGTTTTTAATGCTTTTTTTTAAAAAATCAACAAATGTACAGCTTGTCCATATTACATCAGACATCACATCACACGCTTCACAATACTACAATAGAAATTCCAAAAAAGAGAAAATGAAAAGAAAAGAAAGATATATCAGATATATACAGATTAGATTACCAAAATAAAATAAAATTCAGAGATCAAAAATTGTAAAGATTATTTAGCAAGTTTATTTAATTTTCATCTTTACACATTTTTTTTTATCACTCAACGGTAATAAAAGGTCTGTTTTTTCCCCATAAAATAGAATGTAAAAAAAAAAATACAAAAATAAAAATGTATTGTGAAAAGCGGCCTGGCAAATGTTACCATTTGAAAACTGTGAACTCCTCAATCACACCACACAATAACTAGTATGTAAACAGTTTCTTTCCATTAACGTCTCTTTGTTCAATCAAAGAATCACCTTTTGACTCTCTCTGTATTGTCTGTCCATTTGCTCTAAGGTTATACAGATCGCATGTTATAACGCAAACTAAATGTGTCCATCTTTAAGAGGACTACGCTCCCAGCAGCATCATTCACAATGAACACCCCAACCTGCAAAGAGATTGCAATTGAAAAGAAGTGTAATTTCCATCCATTTTAAAACTCTCTTATGGCTTTTTAATCCTTCTGTATATATCATAGATTTGAACAAACAATCTCATCGCAAAAGGAGCCTTTTAATGATGTTGGGAAATATCTTTCTCACGCTCAAATGTCCACAGTTTTATGTCAGAAATGCTGATCTCATGATAAGTGTCCGTAGACTCCGGCTGTGGTTTCACCTTTGACCTTGAGTTGTGATGTCAGAGAGTGGTGCGCAGGAGCCTCATCACACGCTGGTACAGATGCTGAACAACTGACAGCAGATTCCTGCAACACACACACAGAAGTGATGAACTTAGTCATGCACATGATTCACTCCAGGGATGATTCTCCATTTCAAAAAGAAAAATGTGGTCAACGCTCCCGTATTGCTATTTGCGTACTTCCTTAAAACTAAAAATAAGAAAGTATACTTTCAGTCTACTTGTAATGTACTTCTCAGAAATACACTTTAAATTGCACTTGAGTATACTTGACCTATACTGACAGAAAAGTGTTTATTTGGCCTATATTTGTACTCAATGTAGTCAATAATCTTATCCCTTAAAGGTTTTCGTATGGGCTGATCGCTCTCAAGTTGCTACAAACGTATTAAACACAAAAGAAGATCTTTTGAAAAATGCCTATACACTAAAATTCTTTCAATGTTTGGACACAAGCAGTTTTCAATGGAAGCTTGGTTCCACCACTGAATAAAAAAAATTGTAAAAATAATTGCGACAATTGCGCGATTTTATTTCACAATTGCAATATATAAAGTCACAATTGCATGTTATAAAGTCAGAATTGTGAGATATAAAGTCAGAATTGCGTGATGTAAAGTCAGAATTGCGTGATATAAAGTCAGAGTTGTGAGATATAAAGTCAGAATTGCGAGATATAAAGTCAGAATTGCGAGATATAAAGTCAGAATCGTGTGATATAAAGTCAGAATTGCGAGATATAAAGTCAGAATTGTGTGATATAAAGTCAGAATCGTGTGATATAAAGTCAGAATTGTGTGATATAAAGTCAGAATTGCGAGATATAAAGTCAGATTTGTGTGATATAAAGTCAGAATTGCGAGATATAAAGTCAGAGTTGCGAGATATAAAGTCAGATTTGTGAGATATAAAGTCAGAATTGCGAGATATAAAGTCAGAATTGCGAGATATAAAGTCAGATTTGTGTGTTATAAAGTCAGAATTGCGAGATATAAAGTCAGAATTGCGAGCTATAAAGTCAGAATTGCGAGATATAAAGTCAGAGTTGCGAGATATAAAGTCAGAATTGTGAGATATAAAGTCAGAATTGCGAGATATAAAGTCAGAATTGCGAGATATAAAGTCAGAATTGTGAGATATAAAGTCAGAATTATGTGATATAAAGTCAAAATTGCAAGATATAAAGTCAGAATTGCGAGATATAAAGTCAGAATTGTGAGATATAAAGTCAGAATTGACAGATATAACATCAGAATTGCGATATAAAGTCAGAATTATGTGATATAAAGTCAAAATTGCGAGATAAAGTCAGAATTGCGAGATATAAAGTCAGAATTGCGAGACAAAGTCAGAATTACGTGATATAAAGTCAAAATTGCGAGATATAAAGTCCGAATTGCGAGACAAAGTCAGAATTACGTGATATAAAGTCAAAATTGCGAGATATAAAGTCCGAATTGCGAGATATAAAGTCAGAATTGCAAGATATAAAGTCACAATTCTGAGAAAAAAAGACAGAAGTGCGTTTTTTATCTCACAATTCTGACTTTGTAACACATAATTGCAAGTTTATGTCGAAATTCTGACATCTTTTCTCAGAATTGTGAGATATAAACTCGCAATTGCGAGTTATCAGGCCAATTCTAAGGGTAAAAAAAATACTTTTTCCTCCCTCAGAACAGTTTAAATCTGACAATTCTGACTTTATATCTCGCAATTGCGATATATAATGTCAGAATTGCGAGATGTAAACTTGCAATTGTGAGAAAAAAAAGTCTAAATTGTGAGATAAAAAGTCGTTTTTATTTTTCATTCTGTGGCGGAAACAAGCGTCCATAGTTTTCTTAATTTTGCACGAACTATCCCTTTAATTGCTTGAAAATGAAGATTAGATGTTTGTTAAACTCACCGGGCACCATTGGAGACGCTGTTGTTTCTGTCCGGGTTCAGGCAAAAGAGTGACGCCACGCAATACGCACAGCACAACATCATGGAAAGCAGTCTCCGCTTTAAAGACATCTTCCCGAAGCTCTGAACGACCTGAAGAATATTCAGTATTCCTTTCAAAGAGCCCAAGACGTTCCTTGTGTATCCTCCTCAAGACGAACGGCGAGGGATAGACACACCGCTGCATCCAAGAGCTTTCTGTGGGCCGAGCAACAACTGCTGACCTAAATCCACGTTCAATAGCGGTGAAAAGTCTAGTAGGGATGAATAACATCACCACATTGTTGGCCGGTGGGAGTCAGGCTGTATTGTGCAGCACTGTCATAAACAGATCTTTCCTGTGTGCAGATTTTGTGTGATTCGAAGCCCATTGTACTCGAGGGCTTTGACTCATTCACATGACTTCGAGAGGAAAGTTGAAGTGCATTATTGTGGAATCAATGCAACCCAAAGTATATCCATATTGGTTTGATAAAATGATAAAATGATAAAATGTCAAATGGTTTGGATAGGGTAAAGGTTTTCTCACCCATGAGCGACTCTGTTTGTTCAGAGTTGGTTCACTCATGAGTAATCACAGTGTCCACCCACTCTCCAAACCCATGTTCATCAGTTTCTCTTCCCCCTTTCTGTTTGTTCAGAGTAAGTAGACTGATCCCCTCGTGCTGACGGAGAGGCATCTAACTCAACACTCACTTGAAATCCTCAGTCGGAATATGTTTTCTGTTTAATTTATTGGAGTTCTGCTTTTCGTTTGCAAAAACATCTGGAAATCGACCAGCATCCTGAGATTTCTCCTCAATGAAAAGCCAAGGATAAAGACTTCATCGGTAGATCAGCTTTGTGTTTGTACTTCAGCAAGGTCAGCTTCATCGTAATCGAATGCTCACGGATTTATCCGCTCAGAAGGAAGCATGCTCCTATGGGACCTGGATGACGGCCAGACAGAACAAGGGTCGGACAACGTTTGGCTTTTCCCAATGGGAGCAGAGAAAAATCTCCATTTCCTCCTCTTGAAAACCATCGATATCTTGGTATGTTTAGACATTTAATTCAACAATGATCGCTTTCAACGTGTCTCAGGAGAACTATAGGGGGACATCAGCCAGTCCTGAACTCAACACAACCCCTGGCATCAAAGAAACCGTAGTGTTGACCATGGGCTACATGCTCAGTGTCGGATCCGTGTTGATCATCTCCACCAACCTTCTCGTCGCCATTGCCCTGATCTCGCTCATCCGCAAAAGGGGCTACCAGAGTTGGTGTTTTGTTTTAAACCTCTCCATTGCGGACATCCTGGTAGGCCTGGCCATCACCGGCATCGCCACGGATGCTCTGGGGGGAACGACGGCCTCCATGGAGAAGGGCATCTGTTTGTTGCGCATGACCTTCGTCCTCGCGCCCACCGCGGCCTCCATCCTGACCATGTTCTTGATCTCGCTGGACCGCTACGTCGCTATCAAGCTGCCCCTGCGCTATTCGCAGCTCATGAACGAGAAGATGATCGCCGGGGCTCTGGTTCTGGTCTGGCTCGTCTCAACGTTCGTGGGGTTTTTGCCCAGCTTTTTGAAAGCAATGCAGAGGAAAAACTACCACAAGGTCTGCACGTTCTTCTCCGTCATCGAGCCTAGGAGCATCATCGTGGTCTTCTGCCTGTTTTTCTTCCCACTACTCTCGGTCTTCATCTATTTCTACATGGACATCCTAAAGATCGCCTGCGGCCACCAGAAGCGCATCTGCGCCCAGCGATCCGGCCGCTACTGGGGTCACGTGAAAGCCCTGCGCACTGTGGCGATGCTGGTCGGCTGCTTCACTCTCTGCTGGTGCCCCTTTTTTGTGGTCAGTGTTGTGCAGGTGTCGTGTCCAAACTGTAAGCTTTATCACTTTCTGGAGAACCATCTGTGGCTGCTGGGACTCTCGAACTCCCTCATAAATCCCCTGGTGTACGCCTGCTGGCAGCGAGAGGTGAGGAACAAGATCTGCGAGCTCTTCGTCCGTGTTAAAGTCGTGTTGTGTTGTGTAAAACACTCCGAGACGGCGGACGGATACCCCACAGAGCATCCGACTGTCACTCAGTCTGTGGCGTTTCAGGACAAGATGGTCCAACCCCATCTCACGACCAAGTCGTACGAATTCGACGAATTATTAAAAAGTGGCTAATTCGTAACACGACCTCACTCATACGAATTTGCTAAATCGTACATGTTTTACGAATTGGCCAATTCGTATGAATTCGTACGAATGACTTACCCCTCACCCCGCCCCTAAACCTAACCATCACGTGGGTTTAGACAAATCGTACGAATCATGCGTCGAATTCGTACGAATTGGTCGTGAGATAGTGTTGGATGGTCGGTCACGATTCCTGAACTACAGATTGCCGATAGAGTGGGAATGTCCTTTTAGTCCTTTGGTCATAGGAAACTGTAAAAGGTCTTGCTTCGTCGTTAATGGATGTGTGGAGACCAGAGTATTTGTCGAAATAAAACAGACTTTATTTGCTTAACATGTCTGCTTGCAATGAACACATTTCATTGAAAATATAACCATAGCACTTAGTGTATTTTTGTTTGGTGATATAGAAAAAAAGGTATGGAAAAGGAAGTCTGGTTTAAAAGTAAAAATACGTACAATGAACTATTATTATATAAATTATACGAATGTTTATGTAATTTGTAGCAGTGTGTACACTTGCTAAAGAAGATGATATTTCAATGCTTATGCTTTGACTTCAGTACAATGACAAAATTCAAGGAGTTCATTTAATATTGACCAAAACATGTTGTGACATTTATTTTTCACAATTTTTTTTTTCCCCGCTAGAATAATGGGGCTACATAAAAATATCGTCCTCCACAAGAATGGGGTTTTGGCATCAAAAGTTTCAAAAAGGCCAACCTCTAATTGGAAGACAAATTCAAAACTGTGCAAAAACTGTGCATAAATTGTCAAGTGTAAACAGTGACATTATTGTTAGAATAAGTGTAATAAATTCATTATTTTTTGTCTAAAATTATAGGAGAGATTGACTTAGGCTATTTCAATGTTATTTCTACTTTTATGTTACCATTACATTTATTTTATCGTAGACCATTTATTTTTTAACTAATTTTTTATAGGCTATACATGTAGCTTATGTAAACGTGTGTTACGCTTTTTTTTTATTCTGCCAATAAAACTATCAGTGTACGCTTCATGGTGTTCATTGGTTCTGCAGCTGTTGGCTAAAACTCGTTGCAAAATATGAGAAATACACTTTCAGCTACAAACACACAATTAACGGAGAAATCTGAGTTTAACAGTCAGTTAACTACATATCCCACAATCCTTTTCAACAACCCGGAAAAAATAGCACCACGTTCACAACGCTAGTGGAACTAAATCCTTCCGGAGTGACTCCGGCTCGTCACTATGAAGTAAGTAATGTATGCTTAGAAATGTAATATCTCCCTTACTTTTGTTGATATATGCTTTTATTAGTCTATACAGTTACTAGATCCCTCAGTAATGGAAAAGGAAATGTCGCTAAAGGTGAGCGCTAAACACCTAGCCTCAGTGTTTGTAGCATTAGCTAAAGCTAAATATTCATCTGGTAAAACATGAAACTACTTTTATACTTCGAATTCGATTTATTTATTCTTTTTGAATAATTTATAGGACATATAACAAGAAAATGAAAACATAAAACCACCACTCTTTCTGCATAAAGCGTGACAGTTATTATATAATTATAGGATACTGTATTATTACCATCATATTGGAAATTTGGGATAAAATGTTTGAATACAGTTGATATTAAAGCCGGAGTTAATTGTTTCGTAGTGAAATGTCATCTTAATGGAAGAATCATTAGTAATTCTGGTATCTTTATGCACAGACCACAACAGCATAATAATAAACATCATTAGAGAGAATATATATTGTACTAAATAAGATCTAATGCAAATGTATGTTGATTATCTGTGTTCAGTCCACTCACCAAAGTGAAACTCATCAATGAACTGAATGAAAGAGAGGCTGAACTGGGTGTCAAAGACAGTGTGTCCTGGCATTCGGTCTATAAGGACAGCGCCTGGGTCTTCATCGGTAAGTGACTAGTTAAATATATTAGATTATTAGATTATAACACTGACAGTGTGCCGAAACAGAGCTGGGTGTGTGTACCTAGACCAGGATGGGTCCAGGGAAAGGTTTAATATATATAAAGATTAAATAATAATCTTAAGATTAAAATAATAATAATAAGTTGATTTAGATCTATCGTTCTATTAAATAAATAACTATCATTCTAAATAAATAAGTAATTTAAATAAATCACAAAAAATAATAAAATAAGAAAGACAGTGTAAAAAAAGTGTTGTACTAAATAAATCATTTGAATAAAATCCATAAAAATATTAAAATAGTACAATAAATAATACATCTAACAGTACACTACTTTATTGAGTATAATAACATTAACGCAACACAAAAACTAAATATGTTCTAAATAAAATTTTATGCATATTTATAATTTAAATGTTTCACAGTACAAGTTGTATATTTAAATGAAATGCTCTCAGGATGTGCCAGATGGTGGCAGCGTTCACCAGTTTCAGCAAACGTGTTCTTCTGATCACACTCTGATTGGACCTTTAATTCATATTAATTACTCGCATTCATTTGCCAGATTAAAGAGAACCATTTCAAGAATTGCATAATACTTGACCTGTATTTACTGATCATTTCTTTGCGGTAAATATTTTGTGATCTGCAGGTGGATTTCCATATGATCTGACGGAAGGAGACATCATCTGTGTTTTCTCTCAGTAAGTCGTAAACACATCACACACACCATCCTGCAGTGCTTCTGTATTATCTCCTGTTAGTGAAGCGTAATCCTCCTCTGTGTGTGTGTGTGTGTGTCAGGTACGGAGAGATCGCCAACATCAACCTGGTGCGAGATAAGAAGACGGGCAAGTCTAAAGGGTTCTGCTTCCTGTGCTATGAGGACCAGCGGAGCACCGTTCTGGCCGTCGATAACTTTAATGGAATCAAGGTGAACGGCTGTTCCAGTTACTAGTGGAATATATCTGTTGGGATTTATATAAACTATATATATATATATATATAATTGGTAAATGCTAGCCTAGTTGTGGATCAGGGACATCATTAGTATCCACTTTTTTTTAAAAAAAATCTTAAATCTTATTTTTAGAAATAAAGTTTTTTTTTATTACAATATCGTGCATATTACATTTTCGGGGAGTCGCACATGACATTTTGCAACCTTAACAAACAATCTTGCTATAAAAATGCAAAATAATTAAATTTAATATAGTTTTAATATAATTTAAATGTATTATTTAATTAATATTTATATATTTAATTTTATATTTTTAGTTTTTCCTTACAAACCATATTGCTATAAAAAGGCTAAATTATTATATTTTATTTAATATAGTTTATAATATAATTGAAATGTATTAATGTTTATATATTTAATTTGATATTATTTTGTTTTTCTTCATTAGTTATCAGGGCCTATATATATATATATATATATTTACATTTTTGACGTCATGAATTTGATCTTTTTGAATTGTTTTTCTGCTCTACAGATTAAGGGTCGAACCATACGTGTGGACCATGTCGCAAACTACCGTCCACCAAAGGACACAGACGACATCGATGATGTCACCAAACGTTTGCGAGAGGAGGGATGCGCTCCCAGCATGCCCCAGCCTTCTGAGAGCGAGTCTGAGGAAGAGGATGCCGTACCTGTGAAAAAGCCCAAAAAAGGTGAGCAGAGGCGGACTCGGTTCAGTCAATGAAATACAGCTTTTTTATATATTTAACAAATTCACGTATTTATTAATTTAATAACGGATTGGCTCATGTTGTCAAACCTCAGATAAAAAGGAGAAGAAGAAAAAGAAGAAGGAAAAGAAAGAGAAGAAAAGGGCGCTGAAGGAAGAGAAACGTGAGACGTCAGCGTCTTCCCCTGTCCGAGTGAAGAAGGAGAAGGAGGACGCGGCGTACGAGAAGTACGCTGGGAAAACACAGGCCGGGACCAGGAGGGACAGAGCCGGACCGGATCCCCGAGAGGACGAGGACAGATTCAGAGAGAGGAACAGAGAGGGCATGAGACACGAAGACGCCAGAGGAAGAGGGAGATATGAGGAACGAGAGCGAGACCGAAGGGAGCGAGACCGCCGAGGGTTTGCCAAACACAGAGATCACAGTCGTGAAAGAGAACACAGCCGAGATTGAGCTGGGATTGATTTATACTAATTTTGTGTTTTTGTGTGTGTAATTTGAAAATGTAAATAAATCTTTTTTTTTATTAAACATCTGTCTGGAGTAATTAACTGTATGACCACCTGATATCACACAATATACTCATTTACAGTTTTGGGGAAAGTCACATTTAAAAGTAATTACAATATTATATTATTATACAATATTATTAAAAGTAGTTACAATATTGTGTATTACTCCCTTATTTTTGTTAAGTTACTTTATTAAAATTACGTGAACTGTTGCTGGTAACGCTGTCCAATCGAAGTGATGATGACGTCACTTTGTAGGACAACTCGGAAGCTAGCGGCGCGTGGGTTCCCTCAGTCGAAAAGCAATGCATTTTCCCCATAGACATTTGGAAAATCGCAAAAAATAAGATCTGTGTTTAACAAAGGGTTGTGACCCTTACACGTTTTGTCTATCGAGATAATCTTTACAAGTTAATCCAAAATTTATACATTTTGAAGCCTATATAAAGTTTTTTAAAAACACAAGCAGACTCAATAAAGTTTTAAAAAAACACAAGCAGGTTATTACTGTGTGTTGTCATAGATCAAAACGTGAACATATTTAGAGGCTCTGTTCACCACAGACCTTATTTCAGGCGATTTAGCAAAAACCCATTCAAAAATCCCGAGTGCTGCGTCCCAATTCGCCTACTTATACTACGCCCTAAAAGTATGTACTCTTTTTGTGAGGAAAAAGTACATACTTTTGAGTGTGTAGCAAAAGAGTAGGCAAGCGTTGGGACATACTATCACGTCATCTTTAACGGACGGCTCTGTCGCGTGCTGCGCGTGCATCCTGTCACCGTAAACTGCCCTGTCAATCATCTTGTCACAGTTAAAATCCTCCATTCTATCTAATTTTATTTCCTACCGTTCGGAGAGCACGTTCATCTGCCAGTTGTGGGTCTTTCATGCTCTCCTCATGTTTGCAATTTGAATATAATGATGCATTTAAAACGTAATGGCTAAACGTGTCTTAACAAAAGTTCACAGTGCTGCTGCAAATGCAATATAATGTGGACAACATTGAATAAATTCATTTTCGTTAGGTTAGATACTGATAATTAATCACTCAAAGCTCTTTGTCTAAACCTCTCTACACAACCGCGGGGACTCGCGCGTCCTCCGTATCGACTACGTGTCTGTAGTTTTGTAACACTTTTTACTCGTGTTTGTAGTTCTAACCGAATCCTCGTCCAACGCGCAATGGTTTGTGGGCATTGGGCAATATCAGCCGTTAGAGTGTGCATCGATCTACACTTCGAAAAAAAAAATGCGAATTGGGACGCAGGGATAGACTTTAGAGCGAGGGAACCCAAACGGGAGTGCTAAAAGGCTAACTCACTTCCGCGTTTTGGCCTACAGAGTGACGTCGCAACTTCGGCACTCGATTATGTTTGCTGGGGAAGTTCGTGTAAGACAAATCTGTGCAGATTTAGTGCCAATACTCAACTCGTGAGTCAATTTAATTCAACTTTATTCGCCATGTATACAGATACTAGGTTTTACTTTACTAGTTACTTTAAAAAAGTAATCTGATTACATAACTCGAGTTACTTGTAATGCATTATCCCAAACACGTTTGTTTGACAAATAAATAATCTTTATTTGAGTTTAAATGGTACAAAAGCCAAAAATGTCTTGATGAACAGTGTCAACTGAATACTCTAAAATCAAAATGATGCAATCAAACTACACCAATCATTATGGATTCAGTTGTAAAACTATTAAAAGACATTTAGTTAAGAGCGTGAAGTAAAAAAAAAAAAAAAAGATATATATATATCTATATATCAGACCAAGCAGGTTTGCACATTATCCACTCATACCTGTTCAACAGGAAACCGCATTTCATCACTAATATTTCAAATGATCGCTATTGCCACATCAACATATTCAATAATCGAGCAACACAACTACACAAACATAAACACACTGAATGTGTGTGTAATAAACAGAGTTGTGAATGTGGTTTGTCGTGGTGAATTCGTCTAGCTTGTCTAATGATAAAAATTACCATTTTGATGTCCAAAATAATTGATTTCGGTAGCAAAAAGCCAGTTGGCGCATCCGTTTATACTGTAAATGAATAAAATTGCCCTTATACGTAATATCATTAGCTACTGTTCAATTCAAGTCAAATATGAATAATCCAATAATTGGCCAATCAGGAGTCTTGCAGATGTGACCCCATTAGTCTTGATCCGTCACAGACACTAAAGACTCAAGTCAATACTCAAGGTTAAAGGTCAAATGTTTGTTTGCACGGTCACTTTCGTAAGACGTCCCTCTTTTCATGCTCTCACTCGAGTACATCGCAGATGTATTAAAATGTATTATTAAAATTTTTAGCCAGTATTTCACAAACTAAATTATGTGAATTATTCAGCATAAGAATGTTCACATCAGTCTTTATCAATGTAACATTATATAATTAAACAGGTCAAGAGCAAAGCATTAGGTTTCTGCAGAAACACCATTCGTTGTGGAAAGCAAAATAAAAACGCACTAAAAAAGGTTCTGCCTTACAATTTTAAGGACAATCAATTCATTTACACTTAAATTACATTAAATTTGAGTTTGTTTTTGAGTCTTTTGGTGAGTTAAAGTATTGGAAAAAACATGCCATAACTTATTGATCATTATCATTTTTTTACGGTGTAGATTTTGTTGGCAAAGCGAGTCTAATATATTGCAGTAACTGTTGTAGTAATGCGACAGTAATGCCTCCAATCAAATCATCAACTGATATATCCATAGAACAAAAGTCCCGGCCCAACTATTTATTTTACGATAACCCGTTTCATTTGGATGTACTACAATACATGTCAACTTTAACCTTACATTTATCCATTCAATATTGTTTTTCCTCGATGAATGCATTTGAAATAACGAGGGTTTGTCTCACTGGTTGGCATAGGAAATGGGAAAAAGCTCATTTCATCCAGTATATTCTAGTGCCTGATGGGAAGTTGTTTATTCGCCAGTTCATTAGGACGTGGTGCTCAATATTGATCATGATGGCTTGATTGCGAGGCATGGCACCCGCTGGCTTCATTAAAATGTATTTATTCTGTTTTAGGTTCACTAGTGTGAATGCTGTAGGAGATAGACAGATGGCTTGTGGTCTATTTTGACATGGTATGTTTCGCTACAACAAGCTGGAATTAAGAGCACTGATAGATCTGTGCATTACTTGATAATCCAAATCTATGAGGCTATTTTTCCCATTACTATTGTTTTTGTAGTCACATCACCCAGACTGAGGGCTTGCCGTCCACATGCACGTACTCCATCCTGACCAACACACATTTACTATTTTATACAGAACTTAAAATGATGGAAGAGCTACTCACCCTCCATTTGGTTTAACAGCATCATTTAAAGGTGATGTCCCGTAGATACCTTGACAGATTTACAGATCTACTAAATGCGTCAGACTAAGAGAATTAAAAAACAAACAAAAACAATGTACAAGAATTTTCTACTTGGAATGAATGGGCTCGATTCCTCATTAGCATATTTAGTTGCCATGACGACTGCATGTGGAGAGCACAACCATGAGGACGAGAGTCTGTCCGGAGACGCTTTGTGGTCTATAAATGCATAAATTCATCAACAAAACAGAATACATTTGCTCTAGAGCAGATTTATAAAACATTTAATGTACATTTTTTTAAATTATTATTTTCCAGAGAGAATGAAATAGGAGCTGAGGATGTGAAGTTGTGCATCAAACTTGGGATCTCGTCACAGACCGACCACATTCAGGGATCTCGATGCTCTCGCGCACACACACACACACACACACACACGTCTCCACAGTCTTCAGAGGTATTTGATAAGAGGGTCCATATAGTCGAACAGTGTAAATGAAATGCTTTCTGTGAACACGCATAATGCCACTTTGTTAATTGTGTAAAAGTCTCTTTCAAGACACTGGAGGTTTGGAGCACAGTGACCTGAACCCGTCGCACTGGAGTCCCAGAAGAAGGATGACTCCAGAAAAGACTACGTTTGTATACAAGTAAGGCATTGTGGGTTCATTCTCAAGGGGAGAGTGAGGAATCGCTCAGAGTCTAGACTAAAACAATCATTTGAAATTTTAGACTCAACAATAACAACAAATATCAACAAAACTAAAGTTGTTTATATATTTACAAAAGCGTTCCTCAATCTTACAGATTACCTTCAATATATAGAAAGAAAAACTACAAAGACAACAAAACCAGTCAGAATCGGACACTTAAAGGAGTAGTTCACCCCCCCCCCCCCGATAATTTACTCGCCCCCGTGTCATCCAAGATGTCCATGTCTCTCTTTCTTCAGTCGAAAAGAAATGAAGGTTTTTGATGAAAACATTCCAGGATTTTCTCCATATAATGGACTTCAATGGGGTCCAAAAGACAGTTTCAGTGCAAACTGTTCAAAGGGCTTTAAACGATTCCAGACGATGAATAAGGGTCTTATCAAGCGAAACGGTCGCTCATTTAATAAATAAATAGCTCAAATGGTCACCCTGCTGTTCTGTGACGTGCGTTTGTGACTCTCCTGTTCGAACTCGTTCATTAAAATGAACAAATCTTTTTCGTGTCATTTGGTTGAATCAATTGGTTGAATCAATGAATGAAATGAACGAATTGACTCGAACAGGAGAGTCACGGAAAAAGATTTGTTCATTTTGATGAATAAGTTCAAACAGGAGAGTCACAGAAAAAGATTTGCTCATTTTGATGAACAGGAGAGTCACGAACGCGCATCACAGAACAGAGCAAGGCGAGCATTTGAGCTTATAAAACTTAAACTTTGTTATTTATTTATTAAATGAGCGATCGTTTCGCTTGATAAGACCCTTATTCATCATCTGGAATCGTTTAAAGCCCTTTGAACAGTTTGCACTGAAACTCTCATTTGGACCCCATTGAAGTCCATTATATGGAGAAAATCCTGGAATGTTTTCACCAAAAACCTTAATTTCTTTTTGACTGAAGAAAGAAAGACATGGACATCTTGGATGACACGGGGGTGAGTAAATTATCAGCAAAAGTTTTTTGAAAAGTGAACTACTCCTTTAATCATTGGGAAAATTGTGCGCAGGCTTACATACAGTCATTGGTGACAAGATAATTTACGCAAAGGTGGAACACCTATATTAAAGAAATAGTTCTTTAAAAAAAAAAATCTGAAATCTGTACGATTTCCTCTACCCTATGAAACACATAAGCCGTCGTCTAGCTAAATGTGCTGCTCTTTTTCATACAATGAAAGTGAAAGGCATGATCTTAAGCTTTAGGCGTTCCTCACCCAATGCGATCGTATGGCTCGAGAAGACTAAATGTATGTATGGTGCTTTGTTTTTTTTTTGGTCCCCATCCACATTCATTGTATTGAAAGAGAACAGATATTCTGTTAAACTTCAGCCTTTGTGTCCCACAAAAAGTGTTACAACACAACATGAGGGTGAATAAATATTGACAGATTTACCATCGGTAGGTCAACCATCCATTTAAAAATCAAGCATCATGTACAAATATATCTAAGAATATTATTAGATCGTGGGTAACAGAACATCTGAAAAGATTGGCTGTAGTTCTGTCATTTCATGGAGCTGATGATGTTGATTACCAACCAGTTCTCTCCTCTGGATAAGTTAACAGATGACCACAAATTAACTTATATCCATCTTGCAACATTGAGGACAGATATAGTGTAAAAAAAAAAAAAAAAACAGAGGTTAGATTCTTGCCTTACAAACATGGTGGCGCTGTGGTTATTTTTGCAAGTGAATTTTATTTCCACCATGCACACACTGCATCTCCACCACGGATATTGTTTCATCAAGCCATTATACAACTATACATTGCCATGGATCCACTCGATCTCCCGAGAGGAAAACCAAAGTAGTCAGTGCAGGTTTTGTACACATCGGTTTTCTGAGGCAAATGTTACACATTCATGCCTCGAACCTTCCCGATTCTGTGAAGCTAGATTCACTCGTCGAGATCCGGGCCGGACATCCCAGACAATGAAACTTTACCGGCGGGGAATCAGAAGGTGAAAATCTCAATTGCACTTCTTCACCTGACGGCACACTCCCCTCTTTATCTCCTAACCTGCAGCTGAATCTGGAAAGTCTGCGTTCTCTTGAACAGAAATATACACGAATGCATACGTCTCCCAACCGTCGCCTTCCGAATCCGCACTCTGTCACTGGTTTGGATGGATGGAAAGAGCCTAACGCTGCCACCTCAGCACATGGAGATGGTCACGTTAATACCCAGATTGCCGTTGTCTGCGAACAGGTGAGCGATAGAGGTATCAAACACGAGACAGTCACTGTTCATGATGGCCGCCGCTACGCCGTCGTGGATGGAGCGCGGCGTGGCCTCCCACGTGAGCCGCCTACGGTTGCCGTTCAACTCCAGGCGGTAGGCAAAGTTCTCCGCTTGCTTTCGCGTGCCAATGAGCAGCACGATGGCAAAGAACTGCTGGTGGCCCTCGTATTTCTCCTGCTTCTCCAGAACCAGCATGAAGTGGTGTCCGAAACACGACTGCATCATGACCCAGTCCACGGCCCCCGGTAGGTTGATATCCGTGGCCAGGAAGACAATGTCCTCGCCCTGTAAGGTGGTGATGGATTTGTGGGCATGCATGAGATGTGGCATGACGGCCTCCAGGGAGCCCTGCCATTTACAGGAGGCCCCCGGGCATGGGCAGGTGTACGGGCGAAACTCACACACTTCTTCGTGTTCTGGCTTCTCGCTGTGGTGCAGGGACAGCAGACATCCAGCCGAGGCATACTGTTGGGAAAAAGAGACATTAATAAAAGGTACAAAACTGAAAGTGAAGAGTGAGTCCTCGGGTAAGTAATGGGAAAACACTGGGGACGCACCGAATATTCGGCCGCCGAAAATTTTCGGTTTCCGTTTGAGTCATCACAACATTTCGGCCGTATTGTTTCGGTGATGAGGAGCTTTCGAAATTTTTCGGCCAAAAAAAATGGCCCCAAAATTTTCAAAAGCCTTTCATCACCGAAACAATACGGCCGAAATGTTGTGATGACGCAAACGGAAAACGCGACCTGCATGTGCTTGCCTGAAGCAACATGTCTGCGGACCGCGGAGTGGACGCATTTCAGTATATCTAAATTGGTCCGCTCACACCAAACGTGAATAGAGCGATTAAATGATTGCGAATGAAGTCAATGTAAAGACGCGTTAAGACGGTTCTACGGCGCGAATGAGGAGCTTTACGCGAATGACGCGAATAGAGCGTCTCGCACGAATGAAGTCAATGTAAAGACAGTTCTACGGCGCGAATGAGGAGTTTTGCGTGAATGATTTCGAATGAAGTCAAAGTAAAGACACTTTAAGGCAGTTCTGCGGCGCGAATGAGGAGTTTTGCACGAATGACGTCAATGTTAAGACGGTTCTGCGGCGCGAATGAGGAGTTTTGCACGAATGATGCGAATAGAGCGTCTCGCAAGAATGAAGTCAAAGTAAAGACACTTTAAGACGGTTCTGCGGCGCGAATGAGGAGTTTTGCACGAATGATGCGAATAGAGCGTCTCGCAAGAATGAAGTCAATGTAAAGACGGTTCTACGGCTCGAATGAGGAGTTTTGCGTGAATGATTTCGAATGAAGTCAATGTAGACACTTTAAGACGGTTCTGTGGCGTGAATGAGGAGTTTTGCACGAATGAAGTCAATGTAAAGACGGTTCTACAGCTCGAATGAGGAGTTTTGCGTGAATGATTTCGAATGAAGTCAAAGTAAAGACACTTTAAGACGGTGCTGCGGCGTGAATGAGGAATTTTGTGTGAATGACGCGAATGATTTCAAATGAAGTCAATATAAAGACACTTTAAGAGGTTCTGCGGCGCGAATGAGGAGTTTTGCGCGAATGACGTGAATATTGCGTCTGGCGTGAATGATTTCGGATGAAGTCAATGTAAAGACATGTTAAGGCAGTTCTGCGGCATGAATGAGGAGCTTGGCGCGAATGGAGCGAAAGAAGTCAATGTAAAGACGCGTTAAGGCGGTTCTGCGGCGCGAATGAGGAGTTTTGTGCAAATGATGCGAAAAGAGCGTCTGACGCGAATGATTTCAATGTTAAGTCAATGCGTTTACACGCGTCTAGAGGTCCTGCAGCGCGAATGAGGTGCTTTGCGCAGCACGAATGACACAAATTGAGCGTCTGGCAAATTGGCCGCAAATGATTTTATTCGGTGCATTCACGCGTTTGTTGCAAATTCGCGTCTGACTCCCAAGTTGAAAATTAATTTAATTAATAAAGCAGAGAAGCTTCTGTAGTCTACTTCATTCTGCCTCTTTACCTCAAGAAGTAGAATGGGTTAGTCTAGTGTTTAAATATACATCATTCACTTTGCACATCTGTAATTCTTGGTACATTAGTTGTTGTTAAAGTTCGGCAGATAACACATGGCCTATGTCAGTCTTTGTTTTGATGTACATTTATGTTAAAAGCCTACAGAGAAAATATTGTTGTATCTTTAAGCAGTTGCACTTCATCAGAGAAAAAAAATAAAATGCACTTGACCTAAATTCACTCTGTTTTAATGAGAACAAGTAAAACCTTTCGTCAGACCAGTGGGCCTGTGCATTATTATTATTTAATGTACATGAGTGGCGTAAAGTGAAACATTTAAGTTTGAATTTTATTTTGTACTGTGCTTTGTTGCAATGTGCTAAATACATATTTGCATAATTTGTAATTGATTTATTCTTTGAAACTTAATTATTAATTTATGCAATGCCTTAATTTTAGTAAAGTTTGTACACAGTCATAAACTAATAATTGGCATAATTTCTTTCGGTGTTTCGGTTTCGGTGCATCCCTAGAAAACACTGACAGTGGCAGGAAAGGTGAGTGGAAGGCTGAGAAATGGTGAGAGAAAAAGTCAGATAAGGGGTTTTCAGGAGGGCAGGTGAAGGACACAGGAGATTATATATAGGTAGGGCAAAGAAGGAACTAGGCCATGTGTCGAGATACGCCAGTGTCATTTGAAACACATCCATGAGTGATCCGTCTGTTCATGTGTGTACCATAAAAGCGACGTTGCTACTAATCACGTGTCAAGCTGCGACAACCCTCTCGTTCTTTTAATGCACGTGTCCATGCAGTTTGGGGAAAGGAGCGGGACGGGTTGAGTTGCATGAAGATGAATAGCACAGCAAGGCTCTCTCTTTGATTATCTCAGGAAGGGAATTTCAATGAAGGTCAAATATGAATGTCCCCCCAATCTGCTCACTTTACTAGAAATGTGCACACCGCGTGACTTTCACTGCATACTCAACATTTATCTCCCTGAATGGCCTACTGGATTGGACTTGCATCAACAAAAGGTGAAATCCCATGATAACCTGATAAATGCACCTTTCAGGGAGTTTCATCAGCTTAGCAGAGCAAAGGTATTCAACTCAAATTGTGGGTAAAGGTTTAGATGAGACTATAGAAAAAGCAAATCCTAGCATGAATGGGCAGGAGAAATGAGCAAACATACTGGTTTTCAGACAAAAAGCAAGCTCAATTAACGTCTAGACAGTGAAGAACTATTTTTCTCCCCTACTAAAAAACATTTTTAAAAGGATTATCGTATTCTTTCTTCTGAAAATCCATGCAAACTTTATTAATTACTTGTAAATCCTTGCACCACAGTACAATCGGCTTCCATCAAGTGCGAGGCTGGAGGTGTGGGCGTACTCAACGCCCCCCAAGGGTGTGCTTCAATATCTGCCAAATTAATTATTAATCTGAGTGGTAAGTCACTGGCTGCCTAGCAAAATCAATGAGTGACAGCCGTTATCCAGTGGTCCAGAAGACCCCAGAGCCTTAAAACACTGACATTTATTGTTAAGAAGCAGCTAGGAGAACCAATCATTATATCTCCTTCACGTTACACTGGGTTTTCCAAACCGTCTTTTGTAGGACATGGCCTGTGTCCAAATACCCTAAAATTCATTTAGCTAATCCTTCCTCATTACCCAGCCTTTCTTTTACGAATCAAACAATCTGACGTCTAGGGGTGTTGAAGGTTTATGTGTCCCATCTCTTCTCTCCAAATCAGACAGTTATCCTCTTATCCAGCTTTTTAATGAGAGAATGACAGGATTTTGAGCGGTAATCCTAGGGCCGTGCGGTGGAGATAAAGCCTTTTTCTGGAGCGTATTGGAGGGTATTGGCGTATCTGGGATCAAGTGTTTGTTGAGTGTGTGTGGTTTTATGAGAATGTGTGTATTCAGTACCCTCAGTCATCACTAAACCTGAATTCAGCTGTGAACTTCTCAAAACAACCCAGTATATCAATAACCTAGCATTGATTAGCCCTTAGAGCAAACAAATTAACATTTATACAACATATTTGAACATCCAAAACACCAATATGCCCACAATTCCAAAAATCAATTCAGAAGAAAGGAGGACCAACATATTTGCCACTGGTTTCCACTTTGAATCTCTCATCACCAGCGTACATTGTATGGAAGCTTGTTTCCGCCACAGAATGAAAAATAGAAACGGTAATTGCGACTTTTTATCTCACAATTCTGACTTCATTTCTCAGAATTGCGAGATATAAAGTCAGAATGGCGAGATATAAAGTCAGAATGGCGAGATATAAAGTCAGAATGGCGAGATATAAAGTCAGAATTGCGAGATATAAAGTCAGAATTGCGAGATATAAAGTCAGAGTTGCGAGATATAAAGTCAGAATTGCGAGATATAAAGTCAGAATGGCGTGATATAAAGTCAGAATTGCGAGATATAAAGTCAGAATGGCGAGATATAAAGTCAGAATGGCGAGATATAAAGTCAGAATTGCGAGATATAAAGTCAGAGTTGCGAGATATAAAGTCAGAGTTGCGAGATATAAAGTCAGAATTGCGAGATATAAAGTCAGAGTTGCGAGATATAAGTCAGAATTGCGAGATATAAAGTCAGAATTGCGAGATATAAAGTCAGAATTGCGAGATATAAAGTCAGAATTACGTGATATAAAGTCAGAATTGCAAGATATAAAGTCAGAATTGCGAGATATAAAGTCAGAGTTGCGTGATATAAAGTCAGAATTATGTGATATAAAGTCAGAATTGCGAGATATAAAGTCAGAATTGCGAGATATAAAGTCAGAATTATGTGATATAAAGTCAGAATTGCGAGATATAAAGTCAGAATTACGAGATATAAAGTCAGAATTGCGAGATATAAAGTCACAATTGCGAGATATAAAGTCAGAATCGTGTGATATAAAGTCAGAATTGCGAGATATAAAGTCAGAATTGCGAGATATAAAGTCAGAATTGCGAGATATAAAGTCAGAATTGCGAGATATAAAGTCAGAATTGCGTGATATAAAGTCAGAATTGCGAGATATAAAGTGAGAATTGCGAGACATAAAGTGAGAATTGCGAGATATAAAGTGAGAATTGCGAGATATAAAGTGAGAATTGCGAGATATAAAGTCAGAATTGCGAGATATAAAGTCAGAGTTGCGAGATATAAAGTCAGAGTTGCGAGATATAAGGTCAGAATTGCGAGATATAAAGTCAGAATTGCGAGATATAAAGTCAGAATTGCGAGATATAAAGTCAGAATTGCAAGATATAAAGTCAGAATTGCAAGATATAAAGTCAGAATTGCAAGATATAAAGTCAGAATTGCGAGATATAAAGTCAGAATTGCGAGATATAAAGTCAGAATTGCAAGATATAAAGTCAGAGTTGCGAGATATAAAGTCAGAATTGCGTGTTATAAAGTCAGAATTGCGAGATATAAAGTCAGA